GACTTACTGTATAATCCGTAGCCAAGAACACCAGTCCCGATGTCTGGGTTCCGCCAACTGAAATTGCGAACCATGACGGCCCATGATCACTCCCCAGATTGAGGTATGCGAACTTTTCACCAATGCACCGATGCCTGCCCCCTCCGAAGGAGAGATAAGGACCCTTGGTCCCCTTCATCGTTACACCGTAACCATAATCGATCTTTTCGTCGTCGTCTTCCGAGGGTTCAGGCGCGCTCAGCCAACGGCGCGGATTCCATTCCACTGCGTCCCTGAAGTGATCCTCGCTGCGGGCAGTGAATCCTGGCGCCGAAAGCAGGATATGCGATTCGGGGACGACGAGGTCGGTGCCGGGGATCGACATTGTATTTTTGGCTTTCCGCATGATGGAATGGATTGGCGAATGCAACCGCAGCGTTTCCTTCAAGACCATTTGGTTGAGGGTTAAACGGTCGATATCGCGCAGTGTAAGTGCTTGCGAGGACTCGAGAACTCGAATTTGCTCCTGGTACAAGTCTTCTCCGATTTCCGGATGCGCAGCTAGTTGAAGCATCGCCCATGAGCTCACCGCGGACGACGTATGTTGACCCGCCATCAGAAGTGTGATCATTATATGGGCGATTTCTTTGTCTGGGAGGGCACTGCCGTCTTTGTACACGCAGTTATCCATGAGATTCCAGAGCATATCGTGTCCGCGCGTCTGCCCGCTAGCACGACGCTGCTTGATGATACCCATATATACGTCGCGCATCTTCTTGTGTGCCGCATCTCGCTTCCGGTTGTGTGGTAGCGGAGCCCATGGGAGCAAGAAGTTGATTGGAGTGAATCCTGCATCCAAATCATGGTAATAGTTGGCAAAGGAACTATCTAGCTTGCTACGGACTTCTTCTCCCTGTAACGTGCGAGCGGCTGTCAAGATGGTGATCTCGGCCATGATCTGAGCGATGTTTACCGTCCCGGACTCGCCTCTGAAGTGTGGAGAGGTGGCGATATATTGTTCCACTTCATGTTGGATTAACGGGACATACGAGGCAAGAGCTTCGCTACTGAGGCCGAATTTGATGAACTAAGGAATCCCAGCATTCAGCTATTCAACTCGAAAATAATGCAAGAGAGCGCGCTAACCTTCTTCTGTTCCATGAGCTTTTGATTTGGACAGTCATAGATAACGTCCGAACCAAAAACCGGAGTAGTAAGAGGCGAATATACCTCTTCGGCATTCACGTCCTGGAGCTTTCCATTGAGGATGAAGTCGTTCCCTTTGACTCCCAGATACACGGTGATTTTACGGCCTAGCAGGACGAAAGTGAAGATGTCGCCATACTGAAAAACGCAAAAAGCGAATCAGAACCGAAACAAGTCAGAGGAGTGATTTCCCACGAACCTTCTCACGGCAGGATGCGAAGAATCGATATGGATCGAGTCCATAGCTAATTGCACTCCCAACAAATGGTACCCAGTGGAATACAACAGGGGGTTTGGCACCTCCCCGGGACGAAAACTGGAGTAAAAGGTTACCAATGAAGACGGTCAAGACACCAACGATCAACACCGCTGGCAATAGCTGGGTGGTGGGAGAGAATACAAGGAACGACTCCATGACCAGAATATGCACCCTCTGAAAAGAACAAATTTCAACAGGGAGTTTACAACGGCCATTGAATTGTTGGAGTGTTGAATCTACTTATCTACCAAGCCCTTGATATTTTGTTGTTGTTAGATAAGCTTCACACGGCTAACTAGCAACCAGGCTCCCAAGTTAAGAGGGTCTGGCGCCAGCCGGAAAGCCCTCATTCCGAGCAGCTAATTAACAAAACCAACAACGATCTGCATTTTGTTGCCGAGGAGCTCGTTGACATCGATGCGATTAAGGCCTTTAAAAATACCCCGAGATCCCGCCGTTGATGGTTTTTTTTTTAAAAAAAAAATTATAATAAGATTGTTTTCATAGATACAGTGAGTGGTGGGAATGCATTCCCCAAAATCGTACATATTCCTCGGCGGATTCATACATCCTAGACTCCCTAACCCTTCATGATAATCGCCTACGATATCAACCCAATGCTGTCAACCATCGGTCCGATTGTCTCTATCAAATGTCTGCACTGGCTATGATGAAGACCGTCTTTCCTCACTTTTTCAAGTAGGAATTCCCTAGGGGGCCATTTACTTTCACGCTGACAGATCTTCATCAGAGCAATATTTTAATCGATAAGGACTGGAATATCGTCTCACTCATTGATCTAGAATTCGGTTGCTCCCGGCCCATCGAGATGATACATTCGCCAGAATGACTATTAGGTCAGGCCGTGGATGAAATTGGCCTGGATGATATCTACAACCCCAATCGTCAAGAGTTCATGACCATTTTGGAAGAGGATGAGAAATCCAATTGCATCAACAGTCCTATACTCCTTTCTGCTTTAATAAATCATGGTTGGAAGACGGAAACATTCTGGTTTTCATTGGCCCTTCGGAGCCCAACAGGGATATTCTCGATCTTCTATGACCGTATCCAACCAAAGTTCGCTCCGGGTCAGGACAAAAATACACATTTCTATGAAATCACGAATTGCTATTGGACACCCGACGCAGCCAAGTTTGTCAGCACAAAACTGGAAGAGAAAGCTGCTTACAATCAACGGGTCAAGGAAAAGTTTGGGGTCGAAACAGGGTAGAATGAGGATACCTTTTGGATGACGGGGTCTAGTCTTCCTTTAATCCTGACTTGCCCGACCCTCAGACATCTCCATTCTCTCCCGGGCCCTTTACGTTTTCTCACGATGCTCCTTGGCTGCTTTTTGCGGCAGACAAGAAGGCTCGGTGCTAATAATGACCTCGTCATTCCCGAAAGCACGTAATGAGCCGGTGTGCTCATTGGCCATTTTTGTGGGAGCACAGTTGCCTGCGGGTCTTTGCAATTGTTGACGTCTGATATCTGAACTGTTAGTCCAGTCAAATAATATTGGGATGAAAGGTACTGAATTCGGGAGTAGTTAGACGACAGTCATTACTCCTCCATTTTGTTGGTGGGGAATCCATGGTGCTGTGTGGTTTTCAAACCAAAAGTATTCAATGAAGCAATTCTTGATACGAAGAGAGAGAAGCAATTCTAATGTAAACAGGCACATAGATAATATTACTAGCTAACGCCAGTTAGCTAAGAATTGCTTAAGGAGACAGAACTGAGTCTGAGCAGGTCAAATATATAGACACTGTGCAATTCAGGTAGAAAATCCATAACACTGACCATTGTAGAGATTGGCTGCAGGCTATCTGGAAGAGGTGAGTTTACTCTTTCGAGCGCGCTAAAACATAACAAACGCCAAGCCTTAGTTAACTAACTAACTAACACACCAATCGAAGAGCTTGGGTCATTCTTCTGCTTGCTGGAATGGAATCTGCATTGATGCCCCTACTTTATCCTAGCAAGTATATCACACAATATCTTCTGCATCCATTGTCCGTCTCTTGCAATGCGGCCCTCCCTTCGCGCCACCGCAATACGTAACCTTTCTTTACTGCTTTCGCACGCCCCTCGCCGCACAGCTGCTCTCTTCCTCCGCCAGCATTCCACCTCTTCATCATCCGTGTCATCAGATGAACTGACCCATTTTGCATCTCTCGCCAGTAGTTGGTGGGATCCATTGGGCCCTTCACGTATTCTCCATTTGATGAATCCGTTGCGGCACGAATTTATAAAATCATGTCTATCCGAGGGAAAGCCTGAGGCGGCCAATACGCCTGAGAACAATGGCAACAGTACGCAAGAGGCAGATCCAAGGGGGCTTCGATATCTAGACATTGGCTGCGGCGGCGGTATATTTGCTGAATCTCTAGCACGAACGATCCCGCTCGGTTTTCCCTCATCCTCTTCAACCCAAACCAACGCCGCTTCTCTCCTCGCCATTGATCCCTCCCCAGTGATGATTGAAATCGCCCTCTCCCACGCTCGCAAAGATCCAACCCTCCATTCACACCTTCAGTCCGGCGTATTCAAATACGAAAACACCTCCCTCGAATCACTCGTGTCTAGCTCCACATCACCAGCCGAACCCTCAGCCACTCCAGCACCTCCCCATCCACCGAAATTCGACGTAATCACCCTCTTCGAGGTTCTCGAGCACGTCGACCCGTCAACCTCCTCCCCCCGCCAATTCATAGAAAACTGCCTCCGCCTTCTCCGGCCCGGGGGATGGCTCATCGGCTCCACCATTGCCCGCACATGGCCCTCGTATATCATCAATCAGGTTCTCGCAGAAGCCCCCTGGCCTATCGGCGTGGTTCCGCGCGGTACACATGAATGGAGCAAGTTTGTGAATGTGGACGAACTGCGGGGCTGGGCGAGGTCAGTCGAGGCGGGGTTGGAGGCGTCTGGATCTCAGACACCGGCAGCGACACAGCCAAAGTATCTTGATACAAAGTGGAAGTGTGTCGGGGCAGTGTACTTCCCGGGTATGGGGTGGAAGTTGATTCCGGGATCGGAAAAATGGGGGAACTATTTTTGGGGCATACAAAAGTTGAAGTAGTCTCCTGCGGAAAATGTCCTTTTGAATCTATCAATACCTGTATATAGCCTGTAGTATGATTCGTCCTCTAAACAAATAGACAAATCCGTTGAACAGCAACATGATAATAGCCAGCCATGGCTAATCAATATGGATCAAGCTTCATTATAAAACCGTATTAATATTAAATATAAAACGATGCAGGGAACCAAATACAAAGTAGTCTTGACAAGCCGAAAAACCGCAGCGGGAAAAAAAGAAACGGAAAATTCTCGCATACATCATCTCGCCTTGAGGACCAAGCCAACAACCAAACCTTGCCATGCCGATTTTCCTCACCCCGACCGTGATTGTAAACCACGCCCGCTTGAATAGAGAGCAGAAAAGGGAAAAAGCTATGAGATGTGAAAATATCCCACGGTGTCCACCAGGCCAGGACGCCTATCCGTCTATGTTTTACAACTCGAAGCAGTGGTCGCGCAAAAACCGGGAAAAACGCCAAAAGAAAAATACGTAGAGGAAATGAATATTAAAAGTGGTATCGGGAGATGGGGACAAACGCAAGCATAAAAAGAAATGCTCCGAAAAATGCCACTATATAGTAGGAAAAAAAGACAAGACGTAATCAACGCAAACCGGAGTATGATTTGAACTTCAACTCGCTCTTGCATATGGATATCCGCGATAAATGATAAAAAAAAAGTAGTGGCAAATGGGAGAAGGGGTATCCTCGAAAGACAGTCAAGCATAGGCTTTGTCTAGACCAGTGAAAATCGCTTAGAATCCATGTCAGGAGTGGGCAGTCCAATTTTCCTCCATCTTCGGCTTGAGTTCGTAATTCTCTGGCTCTGTGCTTTGTGGTCGTCGAATCGTCGAATTCGGGTAATACATATGGGCAGGCACTCCTCCTGCAAATGGAGGCCCGGATGGCTCGGGGTACGTATATTCAGGTGCCGAAATCGAACCAGGCGACGGGATACTGTTCAACGAGGGCGATGCCCAGCCAACAGTCGTCATGTGCGGACTGCCTGTCACGCTACCAGGCCTAGATCCGCCATTGGGCGGTGGCTCTAGAGGCTGTGGAGGGCCATAGCCGGTAGGATGCGATGTCAAGGACGGACGAGCGGGGTGGGAGGTAGAGAAGGTGGAGAGTGTGGGCGAAGGGGCAGATGGGGATGCACGAGGGCTTGCTTGTTGAAAATCTCCCCTTAGGTGTGGTGGCAGTGAGCTATTTCCCATGAAGTAATCGCCCATCTGTCGATGGGCATGCAGAGGAGGCAATTCATGTCTTGGAGAGGGAGAACTTCTTTGCGCTGGTGAAGCTGTCCCATGAGTGGAGGCCGTCTCTGAGTAAACACCATCACCAGGGCGAACGACTTTGCCTTGCCGCAGATTCGCTTCTGTTTCGGCAGCGGCTTCTTCTATGGTACCGGTATGATGATTCTGGTGTCGAGTCAAGGTTGTGCGACGAGTAAATGTTTTCTGGCAATTAGCATATGGGCATTTGTATGGTCGTTTCCCGGAATGTATTCTACGATGTCTAGCTAGCGAGCTAGAATCGCTAAAGGGCTGCATTTGTCGTTAGCACATCGAACGACCGGGCTTGCCGATCTTGAAACTCACTTTTCCACATCGATCGCACATATGCGGTTTCTCGCCGGTATGTACACGAGTATGAACTGTCAGAGCTGAACGCTGAATAAACTGCTTCCCGCAACCTGGCCAATCACAAACATGGGGACGAATGCCACTATGAATCCGTTCTGATAACACAAGTTAGCCGCCAGAACCAGCCAGTTGTTGCAAAGTCGTACTTACCATGCCTTGCCAAATCACTACGTCGAGCGAAACCCTTACCACAGGTTTGGCAGTGGAACGACTTCGGGGCAGGCTCTCCATTTGTTCTTGATGTTGGGCTGCTTGTGCCAGGAACGTTTCGAAACATGGTTTCATGGCCGTTTTGGGAATAATCACCACGTAAGATCGAGGGGTGATGGTTTGCATGGATTGGTGAATGGTATTGGGATATATTCGGCAGTTGTATAGGCTGAGGAACTTGTTGATATGATTCAGTATGGCGGCCAGGGTGCTGCGGATCATGTTCTGAGCCCATCTCTGACGGTGATCTTGACTTCATGTGCGATGTTTGGCTTAGTTGATGTTGTAGTTGCGCTTCAGCGGCTGCAGCAACGGCTGATCGATTTTTGTTCAAAATGGTAGTGATATCCATGGCCCTTAAACCGCACGGGTTGGTTTCGAGCGTCACCGGTCTAAGTTCTGGGTTGGCACAGGAAATCCGAGGAGGCTTCGTATATAGCTTCGAAGTCAAGAAGTCTCAGGGAACAAAGCCGCACGAAGCCAGGCAGATGCATATAAAATCTAGGCTCCTAATAAGTGCCTAAGCCCCTAAGCAAGGATTAGTACCGATGGCAGACTGCGTTTCAAGTAGAACCGAGGAGCAAGCGGGTTTACCGCACAGTGCGGATTGATGGGTGCTAGTGCAGGGCGGGAATTGAAATCGCAAATCCGGACGTGGGATAGGGACCCCGGACGGGGCCGCATTAACAGATCCAGGATAGCGGAACATTTGGGCACATAGGGGCACACCAAATCCAACAAAGCATTGCAGAAAGAGCCAGCAGTCAAAACATGGGATGTCACTCACGTGGAGGTGTATGATCGATCTGGGGCAAAACCGACTACTCAAATCCAGTCAAACAAGAGGACGGGTTTCGGAATTCTGCGTCGTATGGTGTACAGAGGTCGCCGGTATCGCATCAAAAAGTGGCCTGCTGACAAGACAAGGAGCGCAAAACGCGTTTGAAAAGACGACGCCTTCAAACTGGCCACAAAAGGCAGATCTGACCTGCGCACAACAGTCGACGCAAGGGCCTTGGCTGAAATGAAGCAAGCACCTTTGACAATGCAGGGTCGCCTTTTGAGCCAAGCAACGGCCTTCGGTGTGCGATAGACGATCGAATTCTCGGCAGCGGGTAGTTGCAGCTGCACCTTGAGACCGTCTTGCTGTCGTAATAATCGATGCCAGAGACAGGATTCGTCCAAGAGAACAGGGCAACACGCGAGAATCCCTGATCAGATTCCCACCAGGTTCATGCACAACGGCCTTGAGATGCTTGCGCGACGACCAGAAAGAAATTGCCGGAGTGGTGTGACAGCGTCCTACACCAGTCAACCAAGCACAACGCCTTGCAAAGCTATTTCACTTGAATCCCCCTCGTCAATCTCCAATGCAGATCGCTTTTGCAATGTGGTGCAGGGTTGTCGGAAGCCCGTTCCTTCGACGTACGCCACGGCGTCTGGCGAAGCACTTCCGTTTCTGGTGAAGTACAGATCTCGAGAAGCCGAGCAGTGCGGGCTAAGGGAACTGCTCAAGCTGGCGGAGGATTCTAGATGCACAATCTCCACTGTTAGCAAGCTCTCCAGGTGACAAGTAGATTGCAGCATATTTCCGATGTGATTCGCGGGTGATTCAACGAGCGGGGACTGGTGCACGTAAGTTGGGTTGTCAGGCTCCATGCTGCTCGCCTATCACTCAGGGTGTACAAGAGGGAACGTGGACAAAAGCAGCCTCAAGCATCATCCGAAGTGCAAGTGGTGTGAGGGGCCGGTGAATCGTTGTGGTGATGCGGTTATCAAATGATGAGGCTCGGCGCAGGAGCACAGGACAACCGGAGGGAACAAGGAGTGCAAAAAGAGCGCTGACCAACCTTTGGGAATAAAAATAGTAGCACAGGATGTTCTGAATCTCAGTAGAAGGAATGTGTTGTGAGTGAAAAAAGCCCCGAGTAGAAGTGGGAGTAAGGGATAAGAATAGAGTCTGAACTGTCAGAAAGAGAAAAAAAAAAGGCAGCGCGATGATGAAACCGGCAGAGAAAGAAATTCTAGAAGATCACCACATTCGGCAAAACCAACAACGAGGGATTCAAAGCGCCCAAACTCGTGTTATGAACAGCATCGATGGCTTACCTGCCAGGTATGATCCTTGTCGTATGGAATTCACTGTGAGGAACAGGCGAGAATGATTGAAACCCAGGAACAATGGGCGCAGGGGAAAAAAAGGACAAGTATCTGCCCCCCAAGGCTTCGTCTGGAAAGAAAAGGCCCAGTCAACGCCTCATATATCGCGCAAGAGAAAACGGGCTGGGTTTGAAAGAAAATTGCGTGTATCGATTGGCCTCTTTTAAAGTTACAGGGCATCAATCGTGGTGCTGGCTATGATCACTCGGACTCAGCTAACATGGACGCTAGGTCTACAAGGGCCGGGGCCTGTCTTGGGCTTGACAGATATCGAGTTTCTAGGGCCATTCATCGAACAGCTTTAGAAGGTTATGGGCCCATGGCCTGACGACTGCTAGACATCACTAACCGCATGCCACGCCACGATCCCCGAGAGTCGAAAAGCGCGTCACTTTCGCCATCTCCACCGAGGCAACAAAGGTCTCCATCATCGGGGATTGCTCGATGAAGGAGCTGACAACAGTGATGCATTATTATTATTACTTTATCTGGTCGACCCCCTTTCCTCCAGAAGACCTTTCTCTTGGGTGACCTGCAGGGTCCGTGACAGATGATACAATGCAGCAAGGTGAAACGAGGCCGCTCCTTTGAAGGCAATCGAAATCTAAAGTATGCCTAACTGGTTACTGTTGTTGGTTGGTTACCGTGCAACCGCATGCACTGATTCCCGTCGTGACTCCGGCGCTCTCCACAGCCATCGCTGTCAATGCGATTCAGACCTGTGATGCGGGAAAAGAACAAAGATATCCAGCCGAAGGATCAGCTCAAGAATTCCCTCGCAAAGTACAGGGTGACAAGGCTCTGGGAATGCGATTTTCTTTTTTTCCCTTGACTAGTAAAACCGACTCGGCGTTTCGACTGTTTGAGATTCCTACCAGCGGCCTGCATTCCTTGCCAATCATAGCCCTGGTCCGAAGACGCAATGACATCTTTGGCCTTATTTGTGGCTCTTGAGAGCTTGGGTGATAACCAGCGGCCAATGAGAAATATTGCCTTCGCCGACGAATTGTTAGCATCCTTGGCAGGTGATCCGTCATAGGTGCCAGAAGCGATCCTTGCACGGTTGAAGCGAAAGGGTAATTTGGCGATCTTGACCTCAGGATCGCACAGGCACCATCCCGACTCTGCACGTTTTGTCCTCCTTCAAGCAAAAAGCTCTCCAGAGAAGAAAGGCATCAGCTGGAGAAAAGGCAGCACCCACTTCTTACGACCCCTTTCACTGCAATTTTATTTTCGTTGCATGGATACTGCAATGACCCCACACGATATCCCCACCTACAAGGCCGAAAGATCAAGTATGAACAAAGAGCATCTCAGGGATCGTAATAATCAACTAATGCATGGGCATTCGCTCTGGTTTGTCTTCGTGCTACAGATCATCCCTCGTGCTTGGACATGAATCCAACGATTCCGAAGTCCGGTCGACCAGCGGCTGGACGTTCAGCTTACGGTCTTTACCTGTTCCTTACAAATCACCCGATAACATTACTAAGGGAAGTAGCATAGCGTACCAAGCGTCTACTACACAATGACCTGCCAATTCCGATTTATGAGAATGATTGTGCGTCAGGGGAAGAAACATTCGAGAAAAGCGGATGGGAAAGCATGGCTTTCTGGCCCCACATGCTCTATTGGGTTTGCCGTGCACGCTAATCGTGAGATGAGACTGCCGAACTGGTGTCTCGCTTCAAAAAAGTCCACGCGTGGAAACAGACTGGGACTCGACGATCATGACGACAAGACCTGTGCCGCAAGTATGAACATGAGTTATGAGACCCACTGGGCTTGAATCTACGAATGCCCAAGGACGATTATTATATTTATGAGCTGAGGTTCTCTTCGCGAGGACGGAAGCAAGCTCCCATAGTCGCACTTTGTAGTTTCGTCCACATGCCATGTTGGTTGCTATCGGTCTCGTCCAACCTCATTATTTACTCCCCACTGGCCAGAACTCTCTTTCATAGTTCGTGCCCAAAGCTCATTATTCGGTACTTTTGACGGCGCGTCACAAAGCTCAGAGGGATACCCCTGCCGCATTTTTTATTATGGCTGTCTGTTCATGATTCGCCCTCCACATGCATGAAGGAAATCAGAATACATGTCCTCCGTAGGGCCCTGATCCAATTCCTGGACCCCTGACCTTCTAGAATCTTAAGATGAGCAGGGAAACGCTGTTATCAGTCGTATCTACAAGGAGCGGGAGACGATGTACTTGCGCGAAGAATCACCGTCTAATGGCCGAAGCAGCAACCAACCGGCTGACGACCACTCGTCCTTGAGAAAGCGAAACTGGAATGGAGGTTCCAATGTTCCCAGAGAAGAGATGCTATTGGGTACGGTGAACCTCACTTCCATCCACAGAGAAGAGTCACACGACCCAGAAAAAGCACGCCTTTTGTTAGCTTCACGCTGGTGATGCTCCGCAACAAAAGAAAAGATGGCACCGCTGCCCTTCTGGAAAGCCAACAGCAAACCATTCCTACACACAACCCCATGGGATTCAAGGGGTCAAAACGGGACTGGGAATGTGCGAAAAGGGGCAAGCGCAGTGGGGCGGCGCTAGTCACGCCTGTGGGTCTGTCCCAGCCCCTGGCCATTCTAGAGGTTTTCGAGAATCTTTCTAGAAGGTGACCTCCTCCAGCCATTCAGGGGCTTCCGTGGCTCAGCCCCAGTCACCTGTGACCTCGGAGACGGATGCATGGGGATGTCGCTCTTCCCGCGACTTTGTCCTCGCCAGGAATCTGCTTCATGATCCGTCTTCTGTCCCAGTCCCACAGCGGCAAGAGTAGCAGCAGCAGCCGCGCAGCAGACATCTTTATTATTTATTTATGCGGTGCGCTTCAAGCTGTGCCAATCTCAAACGGCGTCTACCCGGACGTAGCCGCAGCTTTGTTATTCAGCTCATTTCGTGAGTTAAGCGAACGAGACCTCCTGATACGGAGTACCAACTTTCGAGACAAGAAATCGATTGCTTCCCTCTGATAACACATAATCACACGCTCCCACCCCTCGATTGCTCCGCTCCGCTGTGCGTTGCATCCCCGAAGAGTCGCAGATAACTACATGGTCATACGTAACTACGAGCATCAATCGATCTACCACTCGCCTGGAGCTGCCATTAGGGGATTGCATTCCAGTCACATCCCAGAACGACTATCCACGATAGCACTGAGCAAATGGTGGCCATTTTACCGCGCGATGAAGGGGGGCGCGAGATGGTACGCCATGTGACTAGATGCTCCAATGCCACTTTTCGAACTTAAGAGAAAAAGCAAAAAAAGAAATGTTCCTGTTATCCTTGACTAACAGCAAACAGTCTGAAGGAAAACTGGGAGCTGAGAGGAATAAAACGGGGCTCCCGTCTGCGCAGTTCACTCTCTTGCGCCCTCGTTCTCCTCAGTTTTGATGGTACGCCTGCCACCAATTTTGTATCTCCATGTCGCGGAAGAGATTCGTACATTTCACTTGGTTACGAAGTGCGGAGCAGCCCGGAACTAACTCCCACTCTGTGGAAATTTTAAAAGTTATTATTTTTCTCATGAATTTTGAAGAACCGGCTTGAACATTCCCCCCGCTTGGCTTTGCGAGATCGGGGCGCTTCACGACTTGTTTGAGCAAACAAAGCTAACTTAAGTCGAAAAAGCAAAAAAAAAAGGGCTCCATCAACACGTGGCACTTGTCATCCTTCTTTTTTGGCGTTGTTGGGAAACTCTCACAAAGACGGGCCGGAATCGCGCTATGTGGCCCTTTTTAATCAAGCCTTCTGAAGTCTGGATTTGGACTTGACTGCTGGGGGAAGAGAAGGCGCACACTTGTGTAACCATCTATGCGCGTTTTATCCCCTTTCCCCGAAACTCTTTTAGCGGAAGAGTGAATTTAGGAGAGGCCGATGAAGCTGTCTGCATACTAGTACGTGTTTTGATAAAGGAATACCATGGAGCTCACTCCGTACAAGCTTTTGGCTTTCAGTGTTCTCAGCAAGCTACAAGATATCACCGCTTAGTTATATCTAACAGCGGTCAGACCTCTACTTCAAGCTAATCAAAAAAGCTCTTCGACTCCCCTTGCCATTTCGGAGCATTTAAGAGTCTAGGCACGGCCCCAATCCGACGCGCACGGGACAAACCACATTCTGAGCAGGCCATTCCACACTGCAAGGTGGAGAAATAGGTAACCTTGACCCTTCAAGAAAAAAAAAGGACATTATAATGCTGAAGATATAACATTCTTCTTCTCTCGTGATTTAGCAAGGGAAACCATGCATATATGAGCCAAATTCCAAGTGGAGGCCTGCAGCCGTGAAAATCGCTGCAAAAGATTTGGTTAGGGAGCAATATTAAGAATAAGAATAATAATTCGAGTTGGAAAGCTGTGAGCCTTGCCTGTTTCAAACTCTTCACCCGCTGATGAGAACATTGGTTGTCCTGGAAGGAAAAGAAAACAACCGCCGTTTCGATAAACCTAGACGCTCAAGCAAACTCTGCAACTGCCCATACTCCATACTCTCGTAACTACTACATATGTCGGCGAACAACCCAACTAGGCTTCAAGCTACCAAGTACTCCGTCGTCCTAACCGCAAAATGCTACTACTATATTTTGTACAAGTTCCACTTCAATACAGTTGTGGGGAATGAACATGGCCGCCTAAGAAAGGAGATTAGTTGCACCGGTTTCAAAGGAGGCTCTTGATCTCGTTGCTGTGCGATGCAGCCACCAATTTCGCCGACTTTGCAGCATCGGAAGGGAGACGGGCAGAAAGGATGCCAAAACGCAGGATAACCTCTGATATCGTGACAATGATAGATATGAAAATCAAAACGATGATTATCCACGTTTGTCCTGTTTAAAAAAAGTTTCAAAAATGAGTTAGCATCTGGCCAGGCAAGTGGGTAATTCAACAGCTAAAACAATGATTTGCCGGCTATATCACCATAGTTTTAAGCGAGGAAATGGCAAGAAAAACATACGAGACATTTTATTGTCAGCAATTGAATCCGACAAAATCTCAATCAAATCCAGAAACACCCGGCACCGCTCATTTAAAACTTGGATGCGAGGTTTTATCTCGAGATACTCCCGGACGGCAATGTAAAGCGGATGGAGGGTCGGCTCGCTGTCCCAGAAGAAATTGGGAACATCAAGCATGTTTGAAGCTATACCACAGGGGTTAGAAGCTCTGCAAGCGCCGGCCTTGAGAACAGGGGGTAAATGCTTACATAAATTCACTTCAACCCGGCTCTTGAACAATCTTCCCATAATCTGGAAGACTTCTTCCCTCTGCATACCCAGATGTCCAGTCAAAGCGAGGCGTCGCGGCACATCTTTAGCCGCGGCCATTTGCTTTGCCATCACTTCCTCAAAGAAGCTCAGCTTCGTGCTTTGCGCAATCCCATGGCTGATCGATAACTTGATCATATGGTCTCCGCTTCTCAACGTGATCATGTCATTATACACACGAGGACGGGATATCTGCGTCGAGTACTCAAAATGAAACTCTTCCGTTTCAAAGTCCTCCTCGGGCAGCGGGTTGGTAGCTAAAGGAATCGGAATTCCGTCTTTGCTGGATGCAAAGGCTAGATCTGCCAGGACATCTATCTCCTGCCTCTCTGAGAAGTTCCAAAACACGACGACTCCGTAACTAAATACAAACATCTCCGCGAAGGAGAGTGCATCTGGTGGGATATTTGGCGTTTTGACAGCTGCCGGCAGATCTTCAGTAGAATGATGTTCGGCGGGCTCGTTTTCGATTTTATAGTAGTCGTAAGATTGGTCGGGACCGGGGGAATGGCCATAATGTTCGTGCTCCAATTTCTGGTGATGCTCATCGCCTTCCGGGTGACGATTACCCTCAGAACCGTGGTCCTTTACAGAGTGCTCGTCTTGCTCCGCATAGTACTCCTCGTGGTAGTCCCGCTGTTCATTTCTCGCAATTTCCTCATCCAAGACAACTTTCCCCTCCGCGCTCCTGATTATCGGACTGCTTCTGATTCGGTATCCATCTCTTCCAGGTAACAGAGGTAAATGATATGCCGTATACAAACAATCGTCATATAACTTCGTCCTCGCCCCGTGACATTCCTTCACAAAGGCCGCCGTGGAGGCCATCTTATACCCCTGTGCTGTGCAATACGCAGTCACACGAGGCAGTCTCTCCGCCCGACGAGCCTTGGGTAATCGTTCCGCATAACTCTTCGCCTGCTCCGGCGCCACCCGACGACTCATCAGCGCCTCCTCCTCCGCCAGAAGCGGGCCAAGCTCATTATCAACAGCAAAATCTCGACTCCGCAACCTCCGCTCGGCATTCAACCGACGCAACCTTTGTTCCGCGGTCTCACCCTCTCCAATCACCGCTACATCCTCACCGACCACGGGCGGCAGTTCTTCATCTTCTTCCTCTTCCAACACGGTCTCCGGTAACAGCACAAGCTTCTCGCTGACCTTGGTCGTTCGGGGTGGAAGATGCGGTAGCGATACCAGCCGTCCCGCCGATCTAGGTCGAGCATCGCTTCCTTTCCCGCTCATCAACCTGGCACCCGCACTCGCCATAGCCCCACCGGCACCTCCCATTCTCGAAGCGCGGGGACGGACTCGGCCAGGAGGAAGCCGTTGCTGCATCGACGGCATATCGGAGGCATACTGTAGCACGTTGTCGACGGTGATGAATCGAGAGGAAGGGTTGCTGGGGATATTGGAGCGGCGGGGGTATTGTTGATCGCGAGAGTCTGTGACCTGGATTTATTCAAGCATGTTTAGGGCTGGGTTCTTCCTATATATATCCAGAAGCAATGGACATCGAATGGGTACTCACGAGCACTGTTGGGTTCCGTTTACCCGGTCCGGGACCTCCTTTGGGAGCCATGGCAGTTCAGCGTCTTTATCGTTCAATCACTCTTAGCAATATTTGACCTAGTCGTGGGTATGATAGTCGGCGGGTATCTTAGCTTCTCTTGCATCAGGTCCACGAAACGGAATCGCAAAAGCGAGCTCACGGATATTCTAAGATTTAACAGCATATATAAGTAAATTCATGGTCAAACAGTAACGCCATTGCTGTTTGAGCGCGCGAGCAAAACAGTGATTTCAGCCTGAAGTTAATACCACAATTGGCCTGAAGCTGAATCTCCGTCTTCTTCTCAACCCTTAAGCTCTCACATCATGATTAGCTAAGCATGGTCTTGGCATTGCTCCTGAAGCTCGCCTGGAGTATCTCAAATGGACGGCGGATAGCATGCGACGGCAGAGTCATGATTGTCATGATGAGGCAATGGCAGCATGGAGATGAAGGGATAGGCTCACATATTCAAATCATTATTTCTTGCGGCGCTAGCTATCTATTTACCGCGGACAATTGCGGCAGACGCAATTGAACAACGAGAGTGCGCAACAACAAGTCGATGAATAGCAGCAATGGTAATAAATGTCAAGGATGACGGAGAAGGCTTTTTCTGCCCTGTCAAACTTATCTCCTGGTAATAAATATGGCCCTACAAAAACAATTTCCAACCACATTCTGAGAATCCGTAGAGTTCGCACAAAATATTCCGAGAACCAAACCGTCGTACCTTGTTCCCAAATCTGGACATAACACCCTAAAACGTTTTATTTTGATCTTAACTGACGATCCTCGTCCCAAATCTCTTTCTTCATTTGCTGCAGGCGAATATGTTGCTGTTGTAGCTTTTGCAGTTGAGAATCTGGCGGAGATGGATGGTTGCTCAAATCTTCGTGCAACGCTCGATATTTCGCATAATACCTCTTGAACTGTCGCGCTTTCTCTCTCAATCGCTGACGCAATATAGTAACACTTGTTGATGGTGTTGAGTTACCCGAAGTGCTATCTCCACTAGAGATCGTGGACGGGCGCCTTCGTTTGTGTTCGGGCATTCGAGTATCACTATGAGTAATCCCAAGTCCAACAGGCCGGGCGCTGACACCTAAGCGAATTGATGGATTGGGTTCTTCAGCTTTTCTTTTCAGAGGGTTTGAACCAGGTGTCTTTTGAGCTGTTTTAGATTGATTCGGGGGCCCCAACTTCGTCGTGGATCCAGCTCTTTGTCTGGAGAGGTGGTTGATAAGGGGAGAAGAAGAATTAGAGGACTGATTCGTGCTAGAAGATTTGGGTGCATTTTCGAAATCTGAAGCATTGGTGGGAGGCGAAGATCCCAATGGGGATGGTTTCTGGGGAGACGTAGCGGTTGTTGGGCGGGAGGGTGGGTTAGACTGGACGGTCTTAGCTGCAGGCTTCGGCCTAATGATTTTATTCGCGTGGCTTGAGGCCACTGCTGATGGTTTCGCCTTAGCCGGTGGATCGCTTTGTTGAGAATCAGGTGAATCTCGTCGACTGTTGGTAGCTTTGGATGGCGCTCCAATACCCGAATCGGCCATTTCGTCATCTTCATCGGAATCAACGACATACTCAGCGGACTTGAATTTAGAATTCAATTTCGCAGCGGCCTTTTTATCAGCAGTCTTATCGGTCTTCTTGGTCACTTTTCCGGTAATTGTCGTATTCTTTGGTTTTTGGGCCGCGCGTTTAGTTGTTGTAGCTGGTCGCTTCTTCGGTGCCGTAGCGCTGAGCTTTTTGTTATTGACATTCGGAGTGTTGGTGGTAGATTCGGACTCATTTCCAGTTGTGTCACTCTCTTTAGCAGGTTCCTCCGATGGATGAACATGGATGCGGGGCGTCACACTCTTGGGCGGCAGGCCAGTACGGATATTCAACCGAGAGAGTACTTTACCCTGTCCTCTCTCGTGTTTCGGAAGAAGCATCTGCCATAATTTGTCTTGCTTGGAAACTCTCATTCTGTCGAACGCAGAGATGGCGTTGTCAATTGCTTCCTGACGCTCATCATCTGATGGGTAGGGAAATTTCCAAACGTCGAGGTCTTTGTAGATTTTATCCTTGAGATCATATTTTTCTCGGTTTAGTCGATTTTCAGTTCCGTACTTGGTTACAAGAGCTAAACAATCTTCTTGAGAGGACCGTGTTTTCTGAGCCAGGAACTTCACGGAGACAGGCCGCACTGCTAGCAGATGGATTAAAGGAACCCGCAAAGCATCCAGCCTAATTTTCTCTTTGTTCTGTGGTACGCGAACGGACGTTGGAGTAATGGCGGGGGATCGAGAGGCAAGGAAAGCAGGGCTAGCTGGCGACGATCGGGTAGCGGCGTTGGTAAAGAATCGCTCTTTCTCGATATCTGCCTTGCTTGTCGACATCCGAGCCAAGCTTGCAGCCTCTCTTCCGGTTGCTGTGCGATTATCCCCGGCGCGTAGGGCTTTCATTTGGTGAGCGGAGATCACGGGCGTCCTCTTCGACTCCTTTCCTTGCCGAAAGGCACTGAGGCTTTGTTCGAGGGTCACCAGGGCGTCATCGGTGCCTGCGGTAGCCTCCTTGGCCCTCTGGACCTCCAAGCTATGGCTGAGCACTCCGGAGAAGTAGATGTTCTCTTTGGCATTTGGGGGAGCAATATAGAGCTCTGAACGGTTACTTTCGGGGTAGGTACAGAAGGGCTGGGAACGCGAGCCGAAGTGAAGAGAAGGGTGCTTTCCCAGACGGAGTTTAGCTTTCTGGTCTTTTCGTAGGCTGGCAACGAGCTCCTCAAGGATACTCTGAGTGAGATTCAAACGCATGATTTGGGTCACTTGTTTGGGAAAGTCAGCTGAGAAGCCCTCTGGGGGAGCGACCCGGAGGAGACTCAGGCCGCTCTCAGGGATGTCGAGAGGAGCCATGTTGAGGGACGAGAGAGGATATGATCAGGGACAGAAGAATGGGGTCGAAGGTGAAGGTGAAGGTCAGAAGAGGAGTGGGCTTCCGAGGGAGAAACGGAGCTGGAGAGAGTTGGAGTGAGAGGAGAGAGCGAGACTAGAGGATGGAGGAGAGAGAGGATGACAATGGGGCAGACGTCATGGCGTAGAGAGAGAGAGGCAGCAATGGTTGAGAAGAACAAGGAGGGTTGATGAATGGGAGACAATGGTTATGGTTGAGAGCGAGCCATGGCGAGGTTGAAAGCAAGAGAGAGAGAGAGAGAGAGAGAGTGAGAGGGAGAGCTGTGATTGCGGTTGGGGGGGAGTTGTTTGATGGTCAGGCCAACCCAAACTCCGGGTATTGCTATTATTGATTCATGCACGACTTAATGGACCGGGGTGGATGAACCTTCGCAACTGTCAGAAGACGGCTGTGATGATGGAGATTACTCTTGTCAGTATTACTGCAGGTCCCAGAGACGGTCTGCCATTCACTGCTGGCTCTACGCTGGCGCTGCCTTTCTTCCTCTGCTGAGCCATCCCGTCCGGACAGAAGAGGAGGCGGCGACAACAATGGTCTGGGGTAAATAATCGTTAGCTTCCGAAGGATCTTCTGGCGTTCCCATTTCCACTTTCCTCTGCTGCTCGCTCGTTTCACTCGGGTTTATTAATATTATTATCGTGATGATTGCGGCGGACAATGGTGTTTGATTGATGATTTTATTATTGTCCAGGGCGCCACATCCAAGAGTGAGCCAGTGCCAGCTGCGCCGGACGCCTATTGTTCCCTCGAGATGATGTGCCAGCTCGTCATCCCCACGCCCATTGTGATGCTTCGCTCGAGGATCCGTGATTCCATGCCCCCCCGGTCGTAATATTGGTAACTAATCTATCCTGCGACTCGGTTGCTCGTGAGGAAGTTACCTCGTCGCCGATTGGGCACAGCGCTTGACGCACGACGATGGGGAGTTTCAATTGGCACTTTATTCGATTCGTCCAGGAATAAATGTCGCTTGAACCTCCATTTAATCCTGAAACAATCACAAAAGGAAGCAACGCCAGCAGCGCCTAATCCAATCTGTTGGACGTCGCCGTCTCTCTGCCTCAGCGCCTCCTGTTTCTGTCATCTGGCTCCCAGGCAAGGGTTTTACCCTGAACGGTCGATCCCGCAAGGCTAACCAACCGGTGGATGGGGATCTGATCCAGGAAGCGGACAGGGCCCTGGGATTGGTGGCTCACTCCTTCTGGTGGCTTGACCCAACCGGTTCCCCGTCACAGGTGCTATTCCTGTCTTCTGCTTCGAGCGTTCTCATCCTCCAGGTCAAATGAAGCCGGGAACAACTGACACCGATAATGGCCCGTTTCAGCCGATATGCCATCTCAGGCTCTTCCATACGATAGTTGACTATGTAACCGCAGAACCCCCGCTGCAATGTGACTATGTAACAACTAACTTGGGGCAAAGGCGAGAAGAGGAAAACCCGTGTGTTGGCAGGGCTTCCCGGCCAGGGTTGGAATGTTCGTTAGTTTAACCAACCATTCAATCTGAAGCCTCCATTCTCGAGTTGCACAGGTTTCAAAAACACTTTTCTCTGTCCAGCCCCGGTGGCGACCCTGAACGACTCTGCGGGCTTTCTCCTGCTTCAAGTACAGAGAGAAAAAGAGGGAAGGCCGCCTGTCTTATGTCAAACTGCAAGCAAACGAAACCTCCCGTGAGACTGTGGGTCTGAACGCAGGCCATCCATAATCATCTCTGAACAACTCACTGACACGACGGAAAGCAACCCTCGTCGTATTCTTAGCAGACACCGTTGGCTTGTGATGTGACGTCCAAACCACAAAAGGTTTCAAAGATGGTGAGGCGCTGGAACACGGAATATCGCCTTTTTTTTTTACATGATTCTTCAGCTTGGGCGATCACTTATGACCAGCTGATAGACTGCTGAGGCTATGGATGTTGGCATACAGAGTACAGAGACCTTTTGGTCTGCTGAAAGTCCTGCTCTGTTAGAGTTTCGGGTCAACCGAAGCGGATTAGTTACCAAGATCGAGACAACTGCAGGCTTTCAGGATCGTACTGGATGGAGCATCTGCACTACCCATCTCCTTCAAGAACATCATCCACGTCCGGAGCACAAGTTCCGGAAAAGGTTGAACTTGCTTTCGCGTGTGTAAAAGCGGGGTATTATCCTTGTCCTCTACAATCTGCGAGATTGACGGTTCTCAACTTCTCAAGTCGTACGGTGAAGCTGATCTCCCTCTAACAAATTGCTGCGAAGCAGATCCTAAAGCAGGCTCCTAATGAAGTTCGCTGCCCGCTAGTTACTGGGGATATTCTTTCAAACACAACCGCTCTCGGCTGGGAGGGGGAAACAGCGTCCGAACTTGCGACCACCGTGCGTTAATCCTGGCCAATGATTCCTGGATCTTGCCACAAGCTGAAGAATTGGCAGCACCGAAGGTCCGAAGCCATCGGTTAAAAGGGTACCATTTCGTATTCCGATTTCGTCTTCAGATCGAAGAGAACAGGTACCCTGGGCTTCGAGAAGGAAATATCTTGTTGATTATATATGTAATTACAGCTAAGAAGAATGCTTATCGAATTTGAGAAAAGATGTCGGATATTGGATTCGATCTATTTATTATTGCCCTCGTATCATTCATTTCGACGGTCTTTTGGTGAAACCAACCTTTGGGGTCTGCTTCGAAGATGCGGAGTTTGTCCAAGTGTTTGTGTTGCAATCTTGGCGGAAAATGGCCTTTGGGTCAGGGGCCGGGCGGCGTTTATTAACTTAATTGACTGACAAAATCGCCTCCTGTTCTACGTATATCCACATGTACGTACAGACAACATGTTATCAAGACTGGATAGAGGGAGTGAACATGTCGCTCCCGGAATGCGATGCAGGTGGCCTTCGATGACCCTTGACTCGAAATCTTCCGCTCAAATCATGTCAACTTCCCGAGTTATCCCGCGCCACGTATTGGTTAATTTGTTTATGTTCTTACTGGCTCTTTGTAAGAGAGACAAAGGGCCAACCTCCCTGCCACACATTTCATCGGCTCCTGGCCTGCACATACTCCATGTTGCTCCCCGAAATAGCACAAAAGACCCCACAATAAGTGCATACAAGAAGAGAATCCATTGATGACCTGCCGCGGTGCAATGGCCGCATGCATAAAACACGGAGAACCACGTGGTGTAACAGTGTTGACGTTCCAAAACAGACGAAACCTGCCAATACTGCTTAAAGGGTTTTCCGCTGAAATCGCATGGAGAAATCCCCTTTGAATCTCTAGAACAGGGCCCAAAGTCGACGCATTGAGGCACGGCCCGCGTCAGTGAAGAGGCAGATAGGAGGCTGGAACGTTGCGAAGCTCTGGGCCTCTGGAAAGCCTGGTCGAGACCCGAGACTTGGAAATCTGGACGGTCAAAGAAATATAAAACAGTGAGACGGACGGGAACGCGAACTAAGCAAGACTTCGACAGGGGAACCAAGACGACAGACCGGTCGACGGCCGTTTGCAGCGTATGCAATAGCTGTGAAGTGGAAGACAGGTCGCCGTTTCCAGGAAGTCACGTCGACTGCATGCCGGGCTACCTGCATCGCGGTGAGGACTTTTCATGTGAAGCAGACGACTGTAGTTTTGTAGTAGTCAGTTATGGAGCTAACTCCTGGGCCCTGGTCGCTCATCAGTCTCAACGTTGGCGGCCGCCCGCAACAGTGCTCCTAAACTGCTGCAAGCAATCCGCAAATGGAGTATCTTAGATACCCTTTCAACATTGATGGCGACTCTGATAACAGCACCTAGTAAGGATCATTGAATTATTATTTGATGATTTCATGTTGAAGGGATGGGGTTCCATTCCAACCTAAACTAACAGCCATGTCAGGTGACTTTGACGCAACTTCCAGGTTGATTCTATCAGCTCCGAGAAGCAAAGAATCACCGAACAACCGCCATGCCTTCGAACTTGAGAATTGAGTTGATAGGGTAGTGTGTTTACGATGCTTTCAGGTAGGTATCCCATCCTCGTTCACCCTCGCCTTAGCAGAAAACAGCGGTTATGGGGGTTTGAAGTCCTGGCCCCAGAAAAGCACTTGCGCATGGTTCTGCGGGTTGGGTTTGTTGATGATCCGAGCTGGGCTGATGACCATATAAGACGCAGACGTGGAGGTGCTCGAAGCTGCCGCCCAAGATGGCTCGATGGACTAGTACGCCTTGCCTTTAGCCGCCCCCGAACCTCCACCTCTCCATGCTGACTTGTTGCGGTTTGAAGCGAGAAATGGCCAAAGCTCCTAGAGCCAGTAATTGAGCAATTGCGCAAGGTACGCACTCGACTATAACAGATTGGACACGCATTGACTCCTCTCCTAGATTGTCCACACTGAATTTCCAACGCCTAGGGTCCGTTCCGGTTCCTTTGAAACCATCACAACCGTGCCCATCCAGTCAACGTACGCGTCGCAAGACACTAGCTCGCAGGCAAACAGCAATAAAGAAAATGCGCCCCCATCGCAATTCCAGACACCGCCCCCTCGTCCACCGGTTCCTACTTTCTCCTCTCCGTCCTCGAGCACGCGGATACTTGATTCCCAGTCGCAATCCAGCCCGATTGAAAATGGGCTACCCCCACCTTTACAGCATTTACTCACGTCGATTGAATCTACTCTGAGGCACGGTTTCTCATCGAAACCGCCCCATACAATCCAACGTCTTGCAGAGCTCATTTTGCGGCCGGCGGGACATTACCGAACGGTTCCTGCCTACTTACGGGCTGTGGATAGAGTAGTGTCGGTATCAAGCGGTGCCGATATATTTCCCCTCCCGCTTGCTGTGCCTCCTAGTATTGTTGATGGCTCGTTTACAAACGGAGTTAACGGCACGACCGGTTTCTCCTTATTCAATGACGCTTCCCTGGGGAGTGACGAATCCCTTGGTGGAGCACTGCTTACTCCTATCCCATGGTTGAGTAATCCGGCCTCACCCCCGGGCGGTGAGGATATTGCTACTCAACCTGAAGTGAATGGTGACCCGTCAACGGCCGGGATTTCGTCTCAAAGCGAAAGCGATGCTCAAGACCAGAACTTGGAAACAAATCCACCCAGTACGACAGATGCACACTCTGAAGATGAAGATATCCCGCATGCCCGCGGTCCAGCCATAATAGGCGTGGAGGACATGGGATTACAAAATGGAAAGGACGTTCAAATGACTCTTTCGGCAAGTGAAACAAACGGTACAACAACTCAAGAACCCCAACCCGATAAAAACGTAGATACATCTGCTGGTCTCGATAAGGATGGAGATGGAGACATTGTTATCGACGACGTACCAGCAGGCCCGGCCATCCAAATTGATACCCCAACGGATGATGAAGCAACTAACGTTGAACCTCAAGCAGCCAGCGGTGTCGCAAATGATGTCACTAAAGTGGCGAATGACATTTCCGTTAAATGAAACGAATTGATGAAGCATTTTTACAATCTATTTTGCTGGGAATTCCAGCGCTTTCTCCTTTTATGGCTGCTTTATTTCATAGAAGTTGTTCTCACATGGGACCCCTATGGCTTTTGGATTTGTGATTCTGGCGTTTGGCGAACTGGGAAGAGCAGGCAAGCTAGTAATGTAGGGAATGAACGACTCAAATATTGTGCGAATTGATCGTCAATAGCGAAATTCGAAACTCTTATCAAGTCACACTTTGTACTCTGTAGCTTATCGATTTATTGCTTTGTCACACGGTCACATGACACCGTGAGAGTTCCGCGTCAAGCGCGCGCAGGCAACAAATCTGAATCTCAACATCAGCGTATTTAGTTTGGGATTCCGATTAACGAAGAGAAAATCGAATGCTAATGGAATAAGAAGATGTAAGTAGAGCCTGTGGTTTCTGAGCCCTGTAAACTAATTAGCATTAGGTGTAAGCTCCGCGGGTTTCCACTTACGATCATTTTGCCTAATCCATTGTTTTAGCGAAAATCGACAAGCTTTCGATACTTGGGTATGGGACCTATATATCGCTGCCATAAAGGCTCTAATTCTCTTGTGTCTAATGGGGTTTGTTTGAATTAGTGTCCGCTCGTTCGATAACACCCGGAGCGAGACGATTCAGTTCCATACCCCTCTAACGCTGATTGTCGGATATAATGGGTCTGGGAAGACTGTATGTGGGAGACATCAGATACTAGATGAGGCCCGGCCAGCGCTTGTGGCTAATTTAATATCTAGACCATTATCGAATGCCTCAAGTATGCGACGACAGGTGAACTTCCACCCAATAGCAAGGGAGGCGCGTTTATCCACGACCCGAAGGTAAGGATCTACATACTTCCTAGACCACCCCCCCCAGGTGACATGTTTGTGCTGAGATATTTTGTGACTAGCTATGTGGAGAGAAGGAAGTTCTGGCCCAGGTCAAACTGGCGTTCAAAGCTACGTCTGGCGCGAGGATGGTAGTCACCCGCAGCTTACAACTTACGGTGAAGAAAACGACCCGACAACAAAAGACCTTGGAGGGACAGCTGGTGATGGTGAAAGAAGGCGAGCGAACGGCCATCTCGTCCCGAGTCGCCGAATTAGACCAAATCATGCCCCAATACCTTGGTGTTTCCAAAGCGATCCTCGATAATGTAATTTTCTGTCATCAGGATGAGAGTCTGTGGCCTCTGAGCGAACCATCAGTACTGAAGAAAAAATTTGATGAAATATTCGAGGCGCAAAAATATACAAAGGCTATCGATAATATTAAGGCCCTAAGAAAGAAACAAAACGAAGAGCTGGGTAAATACAAGATTATGGAGCAACACGCTAAAGAGGATAAAGACAAGGCTGACAGGGTAGGTTTGGTTTTGGGTTGTGAGTTGTCCGGCAATATCTGACTCTTTCTTAGGCAGAGAAAAGGTTGATGTCACTTCAAGAAAGAATCGAAGCGCTTCGAGCGGAAACCCATGACCTATCTAAGGAAATGCGGCGAGCTGCGGAGCTGGCAGACAAAGCTTGGAAAGAGTCTGAGAGTTATGCTGAGGTCCTTGGTGCTTTGGAAGGAAAGCGCATTGAAGCGAAGAGCATTCAGACAAGTATTGAGAATCTAAAGCAACATCTTGTTGAAGTTGACGAATCAGAGGAGTGGCTTGAATCCACTTTGGAGCAATTTGGGTCCCGACAGGCAGACTATCAAAGGCAGGAAGAGGCCCTCAAGGAAAAATACGTGGACCTAAAAGAGAACATAGAAACAAACCGGCGTCGATTGGGACTCAAGCAAGCTGAATACGGAAAGCATGAAAATGATAAAGCTCAGTTCGAGAGGCAGGTTGAAAGGCGCGGCAAGCTGATCAGGGATATCGCCCGTCAAAATAATCTCCGTGGCTTTGAGGGCGATCTCGACGAGATGGAAATCAATGAGTTTATGCTGCGGATCCAGAAACTTTACAAGGACCGAAACCAAGCACTGGAAAGAGCAAAGCGAGAGGCACAGGCGGAACTGCGGGAAGCCCAGAGCCTGCTAAACCAACTGAGTCAACGAAAGTCGACTCTTCAAGAGGTAAAGAATGCGGCCAGGAAACAGATCTCACAGAATGACAAGGAAGCGGATTCATACCAGCGACGTCTCAACGAAATCGATATAGATGAAGGCAAAATGGCGATTCTGCAGTCACGAATAGAAGAAACCGAAAGCCGTTTGAACCAAGCAAAAGACAAGGCCAAAATTGCTTCATGGGACAAGGATCTCCATACTAAAAATATGGAACTCCGTTCATTAGAAGAAGAGAGTGCTTCGTTAAATGCAGAATTGATTGAGGGGACCAAAAGAGTGGGTGATCTTGCGCGGCTTGATCACCTTAAAAAGGAGCTCAAGGATCGGGAGCGTAGCTTGGAAACGATGACAAGCGCCCACGGTGACAGGGTATCCCAGCTTGTGAGCAAAACCTGGAACCCTTCAAATATCGAACAAGAATACCAATCGGTTCTAAACGTTGCCTCAACATCACTAACCAAGACTGAGCGAGATAGAGATGGAGCTAGCAGAGAGCTCGAGTACGTTGAAGTAACGTTAAAAACCGCACGCAGATCCCTTCAGCAACACAAACAAGAATTGGATCATTGCGTTGAGAGGATTCGGGAAGCTACCGATGAAGAGCCTGCGGAATATCCTGATGTTGTTAAGCAGAGACAAACGCAGCTTGAGATGGCGAAAAAAGATATGGACCAATATGCGGGTCTGGGAGAGTATCTGAGCAAGTGTCTTGAAGCGGCGAAGCAGAAAAAAGTTTGTCGAACTTGTAGTCGGCCATTCAAAACGGACAAGGAATTCCAGGAGTTCAAAGTCAAACTTGAGTCATTGGTTAAAAAGGCGACTATGAATGCCGATGATGAGGAGGTTCAGCATCTGGAAGAAAATCTGGAATTTGCAAGAAACGCGCAGACGTATTATGACTCCTGGGTACGTATCTCTAATACAACTATCCCGGAGACGGACAAGGAGATAGCCCGGCTGGAATCAGAGCGAGAGGAATTACTGGCAAAAGTAGAAGATTACGACAGAATTGTGAGTGAAAAGGGTGAATCGAAAAGAGATATTGAGTCGTTGGCCAAAACAGTTGCCACGATTGCTAAATATGAAAGCGAAATTAAAACCCTCAGAAGTCAGATCCAGGAGCTTTCTGCGAAGCAGCAAGATTCTGGCGACTCACGGACTCTAGAAGATATCCAGGACATGCTTGCGACGGTTGGAGAGGAAAGTCGCGAGTTAAGGCGGACCATAACGAAAATAACAAACGAGAAAGATCAATCGAGGGCAGAAATCACGGAATTAGAGCTCCAGCTTCGCGATGTTCGCAGCGAACTCGATAATGCCAAATTCCAACTGGATAAAAAGGCATCAATTGAGACTCGATTGGAAGAGTATCGCAATCTTAATGCAAAACAGCGTGAAAGCATCGAGAAAGCAGATCAGGATATCGAGAACCTTGCTCCCGAGGTGTCCAAAGCTCAGGCCAAATACGAAGATATTAGCTCCCGTAGCGAACAAAAGGAGAGAGAACTTCAGCAAGATGTTGCAAGCCTGAGCGACAGTTTGCATCAACTTGAGCTTGCAAATGAGGATATCGTTTCCTATAACGACAGGGGCGGCCCACGCCAGTTGGAGAGAAGCAAACGTGAGCTAGAAAATATCACAACAGAAATCGAGCAATTGGAATCAGAACAGGGGTCCATCACGCGGCAGCTCAATGCCGTTTCAGCTCGATTGAAGGACAGCGAGAATACGAAGCGCCAATATTCAGATAACCTTCGTTATCGACGTGAAATGAGAGTGTTAGGAGAAGTGAAGGCTGAAATCGAAAGATTAGAGGCGCAAAATGCCGAGGTCGATCGAGCTCGGTTTAGACAAGAATCCGCGCGGCGTACGGAAGAATATAATCACTTCTCGGCGCATCAGGCAAGCAAAATGGGAGAAATGAAGGCAAAAGATAATGAACTTATGCAGTTACTAGCCGACTGGAATACTGACTATAAAGATGCAGCATTCAAATTCAAGGAAACCCATATCAAGGTGGAAACGACCAAAGCAGCCGTTGACGACCTCGGAAGATATGGCGGTGCGCTGGACAAAGCAATTATGAAATACCACAGCCTAAAGATGGAGGAGATTAACCGCATCATCGAGGAACTCTGGCAGCGGACGTACAGGGGTACAGATGTTGACACGATTTTGATTCGCTCCGACAATGAGAACGCAAAGGGGAACCGCTCATATAACTATCGCGTTGTCATGGTCAAACAAGATGCGGAAATGGACATGCGTGGCCGCTGCAGCGCGGGACAAAAGGTCCTAGCAAGCATCATCATCCGCCTGGCGCTCGCGGAATGTTTTGGAGTAAACTGCGGTCTGATTGCATTGGACGAACCAACCACGAATCTCGATCGGGACAATATCAGATCTCTGGCGGAGTCACTGCATGATATCATTCGGGCCAGACAGCAGCAGGCGAATTTCCAGCTTATTGTCATCACTCACGACGAAGAGTTCCTGCGACATATGCATTGTGGTGACTTTAGTGATTACTACTATAGAGTGTCGAGGAGCGATAGACAGAAATCGATTATTGAGAGGCAGTCGATTGCTGAGGTGAGAGCGCTTGCTGCCAGATATCTAATATACGTGGAGACTAATTTTGCTTTAGGTTATGTAAAATGACCTATGATTTATGGCTTGGTGTGCTTGAGTGATAAATATAACCTAGTTACTTGGTCTATTAGACCTTGGGAAATCAACAATCTACAGCATGGGAGGACAAGTTTTTGGGGCGTTGCAGGTCTAGGATATAGTTAGCCTACGTATTTCCAAAATAATCGAAACTTGACGTCAAATTGATATGTTCCTCATATTATGGTGCAGCTTGACAGGTATGAACGGCCTCTGAAATTGAATATTTGTGAGGGCTAGAACTATCCATATAAATTTGGAGCTATTATTCGGGTTCGCCGTCATTTTCCTCGTCGTCATCAACCAACGGAACGAATCGAAAGTCCACAAAACTGACATTACCAAGCGTACCTCCCCCCAGAGCTTGAGGTGCCCTGCCCGGCCCATCAGAACTTAAAGCAGCCTCTCCAAGTTCAATCATAAATTGCATGCTTAGAACGCCTTGACTATCACCGCGAATACTAACCTTGCTGGACGCCGCCATGGCGCGTAACGCCTTTCGAACAAGGGCGAATCGATAGCTCTGACGTACCCTGGTTTTTGAAGCAGGCGGCTGAACTAAGAATGTTTCTGCAACGGAGGGCGCTAACTTGCCGCGTCTTGGCTGCTTGGAACTTCCATCGTCGTTGAAGGACCTGTAGGTAGTGTCGGTAGATCGGTTTGGTTCTTTATCAATCGAGAATTCAACCGTAGAGTCACCAAATGGACCTCCGGAGGCAGAAAGTGCGAAATAAGGCGACTTATTTGGAGAGGCAGATAACGTCAGCGTGGTAGGGTTTGTCGAATCCAGTTCCATTATAGCATTGTGCAGCCAAAGTGAGCGCATTATAATTTTGAAAACAATAGCGTCACGTTGGAGCGGGATATCGACGTCTTCTGAAGAATCAAAGCTTGGATCATCGGGCTCATACGTGGTCAATTCACACGTCGTGGTAACACCTGCCTCTGTGAGGGTAAGGCTTAATGGAGAGCCCGGCCTTACGTAGCTTATGGTACAGGTACGGTTAAGTAGTAGAGCTGGTGTCGAGAAGGCGTTGGAAGCTGAGCCAGTCATAGGATTTGATATCGGGTTCAGGGGTTGGGTGGAATCGTTCAACCCAAAGATCTGGAGGGTCTCAATCAAAGCAGTGAGGGAAATCAAAAACCGCGGATAGGTTGAGGTATCAGGAGCGTCTTCAGCATCGTCTTCATCAATATCCATGCCACTGTTGCTGGAAGGTGGATTAAAAACGTAGTTTATAAACAGCGTTTTGTCGAGGAACGCGAGGCCTTGCATGACCCTCCCATCTTCGGCGGAGAAGCGTATGCCCTGGGGGGTGATTTGTATCGCAGCTTTAGAAGCAAAACCAATACATCGTAGTATAATATACAGTTGGTGAGTAAAGTGAGAGACGGCAGAAAAGATCGGAGCGTCACTAGAGTCCATGTCTGGGTTGAGATGTCACCGCATGGACGAAACAACAGCCCAGATCCCGCTAAGGTCGTTATAATGGCAATGGAAAGAAAAGCGTGATCCAATACACTAGCAGGATCCAAATTTATCGTACATCTCCACCGCGTGGATCCCGAAGTGTAAACTCGAACTCGGAGGCCTAGACATATACTCCAACCGCGCAGATCATGAAGACCGCCCCAAACCTACTGGTGTTAGAATGACATGATTTTGAGGGTATACGACGGCTTCCTCACCCGAGCGCAAGAGAAGCAGGCACACCGTAGAGAGGAATGCTTAATAGAGATCGATCTAGAACAGTTAGTGACAGAAAGGCGTATTATGGGATGGGTTGAATACGTACTCAAACCGAAAAGTCCGCTGAGAACAAGAGCTGCGGATTGAGCTAATTAGGTGACGTTTCTGGATATTCAGCGCTCGTAAATAATACTAACCTGTGAGTAGAAGGGTAGATGCAATGAAGAATTGATTGTTTTTCGAAACAATTGGATAGAAAGGGTTTGCGGCCGCAGCTACCCAGGCTTCTTCAAGAGACATTTGTTCGGGTTGATGCTGTAGTGAGATGACAGACTATACACAAGAAGAATAGACAGCGAATTGCAATTAGAAGACAACACAAACAAAGGTTCAAGTGGACATGATACCTCGCCGTCGCGTCGATTGAGTGCGCGCAAGGTGGTCAATTCAAACAGCACGGTCGGAACTACTATTTCCCGGGCTCCGATGCTCGGCACGGAGAAACATTACACCGTCATACGCCGAGGTCGACATCATAGTTTCCGTTTCGGGAAGCCGGGATGTTCAAGGGCGTCGCGACGAGGCACGAGCCCATAGATGAAGATCGACTATGGCTCCAATGGCCAACGACCGTAAGTTGGTTTCTATACTCGCGCCGACAGCATTATGCCGACACTCACCCGCACAGGAAAGCGCAAGGCCACGGACGAACCGAGTACCCCAGATTCCAAGCAAAGGGTCAAAAGGGCTAGGACCGAGTCTCCGGATTCCCAAATCAAGGTTAGCTATGCGTTAGGAAGGCTGAAGGGCTACATATACTGATTCCCGGCAGCAAGAGGATCTTCCGGACAAGCCCCAGCTGAAAATCGTACCGTTTGCGGAGAAGGTGAGAAAGCGGCAATTTCCTGTCTCCGTATTGCGCCTATGCTGACGGAACCGGTGTAACAGCCCGCAGTGTTGGAAGAAAGACGAGGCGATATAGAATTCCGAGTTGTTAACAATGACGGAACCAGAGAGAGCTTCATTATCCTCACGGGCCTCAAATGTATATTCCAAAAGCAACTTCCGAAAATGCCGAAGGATTATATCGCGCGACTGGTATATGACAGAACGCATTTATCGATTGCTATAATAAAACACCCTTTGGAGGTAGTCGGGTAGGCGGCCGTGCTTTTTTTCTTCAAGAAATCGTGGGGAAGCAGTGCTAACAGCCTAGCAGGGGAATCACATATCGACCGTTCAGAGGAAGAGCCTTCGCGGAAATTGTATTTTGCGCCATATCTTCTGATCAGCAGGTAAAAGGTTATGGTGCTCATTTGATGTCGCATTTAAAGGTAGACTCCAACCCCCACCCCACTTCACGCAATTTTCGCAATCAAATGTAAACATATCTATTTAGGATTATGTGAAAGCTACCTCTGATGTGATGCACTTCCTCACATATGCCGACAACTATGCCATTGGATATTTCAAAAAGCAAGGATTCACGAAGGAAATCAACCTCGATAAGGCAATCTGGATGGGCTATATCAAGGATTACGAAGGGGGAACCATCATGCAGTGTACTATGATTCCGAAGATCCGGTACCTCGAATCTGGACGCATGATTTTAAAACAAAAAGAAGCTGTACACGCCAAAATCCGTGCGTTTAGCAAGTCCTATATTGTCCATGCACCACCAAAGGAATGGAGAAACGGGATCTGCGAAATTGATCCGCTCAGCATCCCAGCTATCAAAGAGTCTGGATGGTCTCCTGACATGGATGAACTAGCCCGCCAGCCGCGCCACGGACCTAATTACAATCAACTTTTGCACCTGCTAAATGACATGCAAAACCACAGTGCAGCATGGCCTTTTGCACAGCCAGTGAATCGGGATGAAGTTCCTGACTATTATGAGGTAATAAAGGAGCCGATGGACCTGTCAACGATGGAGGAAAAGCATGAGAAGGATCTCTACCCGACTCCGCAAGATTTCATCAAGGATGCGATGCTCATTTTCGATAACTGCCGGCGGTATAACGACGAGAGTACGTCCTACGCTAAAAGCGCGAACAAGCTGGAGAAATTTATGTGGCAGCAGATTAAGGCTATCCCAGAGTGGTCAGTAAGTGCGCTCTATCAACTAAGGGCGTTTCGTATTCCGCTGACGCAATCCGATTTGTTAGCATTTGGCGGATGGCCATTGACTGAGCCTGGGCGCCATATAAGGAATGACATGGCGATTGTTTAATAACTCTCTTTTTGCATTGGTGGTGTGTTAGGTTGGACGGCGGAGTGTATAAGTTTGGAGTTCTGTTGTACATTAGTTAGGCGCCATTATATATAATGAACCAAGGGATTGATCATGAATGTTATACAGAGTACAGAGGATAGCAAGTGGAATTCACCCTCTTCACACCTTGTGGTTGCATTCTCAATCTGGTGTCTTTTCGGCGCCGGAATAACGATATCGCGCTTCATTTGTTCCATAGCAACCTTCTGTCATGGGGGATCTGAATCCCTTCACCCTCAAGTTTCACTGTTGTCTCAAAACAGTTTGATCAGTCTTTAGGATGTCTTTCTTTGATTCTTAGCAAGAGTGCTTTTAGCGTGACTAATCTGTTCCTTTGATTGATATTATCGCGGCTGGTGCCACTAGCTGGCCCAAGAAGCCGTTTCAACAGTTCCAATTAATTAATCCAGAAGGATATTCGCGACGCATCGTGGATCCAAACAAGCAGATTCTTGAGCTGTTCTTGTCACTTTTCGATTATTCAGCGCTGTTGTTACTATCACAGCCAAATGGCTTCATCGTCATCTATCCAAGAAGAAGAGCACCGCAACAGACTCCCTATACTCCTTGAGGTCCTCAGCCGAAGGACGCTCGCCCCTGTTGACCTCTTCTCCTTTTACATCTATATGAGAGATCAGCAATGTTCCGTTGACTACTTGGATTTCTGGTGAGTTCCCCGCCGTTCCCCCAGACTAATGGAGCGACTGACTGAGTCCGGGGTTTTTCTCTGAAAGGCTCGATGTATCCCAGCATATGTCCCTCTGCCGTCACTATGTTCGCGAGCTCCGTCGTTCCGTGCTCCTTGAGACTCCTGAGCCAGAAAAATTCGACGCTTCCGACTCTCCAGGCCTTGGACACAATGGTACTGGACCCTCAGGACATACCTACCCACCAAATGGCGCCGTCGGGCCTCAAAATGATCAGCGATTGTCAGCATTCTTAAGGTCGGAGGGACGAACTTCTGTGTACTCTGCGAGAAGTAGCATGGACTCTGGCCGCACAGGACGTCGATTTTCTTCGGTTGATCGACCGCGACGTATCAGCGATATGTTCCCGCAACATCTCAACAATTCGAACGGCTCCCCAGGACACACCGTTGCAAGGTCTGATATTCGTGCGAGCGCAGTGAGAATCTTGTACACATACCTTCTTCCGGGATCGGAACGAGAAGTTGTTCTTCCAGACACCGTCGTCGGGGACATTGTTCACATGATTGAGCAGGAAGGGAGAGATGATCCAGAGGTTTTCGACACTGCGAAAGACTATGTTTTTCAAGCCATGGAACGAGATGCTTTTCCCGGGTTTCTTCAGGCAAAAGCATTGGGGAATCTAGTCCCACCCAGCATTCTAGCCCGACTAGTTCTTGCATTGACAAGCTTGGGAGGCGGCTTTTGGGCTGCATTTTACGTTGTGCTGACCGACCAGCCACGGCTCGTGCGATGTTGGGTATGTATGCTTTATCCTAGTTTCGTTAATTCGGTCGCTTATTGTTTGTATAGGTCATTCTACCTTTTGTCATAGGCGCCTATTTCCTCGCATCGTATCAATACCGAATTGATCCAATTCTCGCGTTTATCGGCCTTAGCGAATACACTTTTATGAACTGGACTTCGATTCAGGAACCCTACGTTCGATCTTTACTTCTTAGGCGAGCTACTGTCTCTCTTGCATTTGCTACCTTCATTGCAATCTCGCTATGCGTTTTATTCATCTTCGTTCCTGGGACCAGACTGTGACAGCGTCTCGACGGGCGACTTCCGACAAGCTTTTCAGTCGATAACGTCTTTTATTCAACATTTCATTTACTTTGTTGTCTTGCAGAATGGAGGGTTGGTAGGATTCGGTATTTCTGGCATCGGTGTCTGGCGCATTTCGTATTCTTTCCGATTTGCTAGCCAGGCTGTGATCCTTCGGCGCTTATTATCCTTACGTTGTTTCCTCTTTTACGCGGAAGATACCCTCTGAAGAGCGCTTGCTCCCCGGCCTCTTCGCGCGCAAGTTCATTACATCGCGGGTTATCATTGCGTTTCTTGTTAATCATGTTTGGCCTGTCTTCTAATAAACGCGCTTTGAAAAAGACCTCTCATAACTAGAACGAAAAAAAAAAATTCGTCGTGAAGGCATACTGGTCTTCGGGCAGCATTAGCTAAATGTTCGTATCGGCATTAATTTAAATCTATGATTCCGAACTCAGTAGAACTGTCCACACGCTCTTTATTGTCTGCCACTAATCCCAAGCATGCGTTTCGCTCTAATTAACCTCCCAGTATCTTCACCATCAATTCCCTCATCAACCTCCATGTCCACATCCATCCCATCAGTGTTACTGTGCCGGGATCCAGAGTTGCTTGTAGCATTGAATTCGCGTTTATTTCCACTCCCAAATCCAAACTTACGTCCAGTCTTTCCCGACCCATCTTTCGAAGGGCGAAAAGCACGCTTCGAGCCCGCGCCACCGACATCCCCACCCCCGGCGTCTCCGTCCCGATCGCCATCCCAGCCCTTGAGGCTGCGCTCTAGCCGGGTAGCCCGGACCTGTGCCTGTGAATGCCTTTTCTCCGCATCAGCTCGTATCTTTGCGATTTCCGCTTCGATTCCGCCAATGACGCTGCGGCAGCGGTCCTGCCACTCGGAGAGGACTGAGATCATTGCGGTTAGGGCTTCGGGGCGGACGTCGCGCAGGGGAGCGACGGAGTTGACTCTGATGAAGGGGGGGACGGTGGTGGGGGAAAAGCGAGCGGATATTAGAGAGGAGTGGATGGCTTTTGTGATGAGAGTTTCGAGTTCGGTGTGGGAGGAGAGGGAGAGGGATTCCATAACTGCGGAGTATGTGAGGGGATTGTGCGTCCTTGCAAGTGAGAGGAGGGAAAGAAGCCGCAATTTCTGGGCTTGATCGTTGTTTAGAGCGGGTAAGCCGGGAGTTGCTGACAGAAATGGTTAGTATGGTGTGTTGAGTGGATAGCAATGAAAGCGCTCAGAGAACGGGAGCTATGACTGACTTTGGTAATCCTGCCATGTTCCCCAAGCAAATATTTCCAATAATGTCAGGTAGGACTGGTGCTCTTCGGGCGTGTCGGGTGTCCTGAGGGTCTGTATAGCTGGAGTCTCTAAAAGCTCTGCGAAGATGAATGTGTTTGGCGCGGATATAGCATTAGCAATGAGGTTTGCCAGGAAGCGGGGTGACGGAGAGGTAGTTGAAGTTGCAAGGTGAATGAATGGTTGGATGGCCTCGAGTGCCCTCGTGTGTATTTGCTCCATGGTGCAGCAACGAGCAGCGCGGGCTGAGAGCTTTGAGGAGGATCCAGTTGGCGGGACTTGGAGAGACGTTGATATCAGTGGAGAAGGAATGCTTGAAGACCAAGGTCCGGGGTGGTGATGAAGCTCGAAGCTCAATCTGCAGAGCTGAGCTATATCCGTCAGATACCAGCAGACACCTGGTCTTCGGTCTTTCAAGTACAATCGCAGATTCACCTTCAACAATGCGATCCCTTCACTGTTGTCGAGCTGCCATCACAAGATGACATCGCATCGCGCCTTACATAAGCCGAGGGCCCACTAAAGCGCACTCGTACTAACGCTACTTCACTGCGCCCGCGTGTACCACCCGAGTCCGTTTTGCGGAAGAAGCGGGAGCTTTATTGCTTGGATTTCCTGGTTGAATGGATTCTGGCCTCTTGGTTCATCCACGGACCAGAAAGACCAGACACGCCAGGAGTCGCTGTGTTTGGCTTCTCAGACAGAGTTCCACCGTTGCGGGTTCCAACGCTCTCGGGATTGGAGTTTTCAGCTGTCAGCTCCAACACCTGGTTCGTCACCTCGTTATGCCGGGTTCATCGTTAATTTTAGTCAGTTAAGGTCACATCGACCGCAACATCCTCCCACATCCCGACTCCTTTGTCCATATAAACACTTTTAATCACCCCGCCCTTTTCTTTTCTTTTTCAAGAAGCTGGCCTTCTCCTTCATTCACGTCCAGCTGTTATGATAACTGCAATCTGATTCTCCAACCACCATCTCACCGCCCAACACGAAATGTCCCACCAAGGCTAAGCAAACACGGGGAGAACCAACAGCGTAAGCGAACGGAATACGAGCGGAAACTACGGACGGTACCCTTGTTAGCCGTTGGGCGCATGGTTATCCGATCACTCTGGATGTTATGAATTGACTTGTGACGATAGACGACCACGACCACTTCGCTCCCCCCTCACGACGCACAAACAGAGCCTGACGCCGGAAACCAGAGTGGTGAAAAATGGCTGTCACAACGCTGAAAGTGGATGGCATGACATGCGGCGCCTGTACGTCCGCTATTGAGTCCGCATTTAAAGATGTGGATGGAGCAAAGGAGGTTTCGGTCAGCCTTGTGATGGGAAGAGCGGTGGTAGAGCACGACCCAACAGTCCTGGCCCCAGACATGGTGAAAGAGATAATCGAAGATCGCGGCTTTGACGCAGAGGTTTTGACAGCAGAGCGCTCAGAATCTGACAGAACCAATGCGACCAAATCCCCAAATACCGTCTCGACAACGACTCTTGCAGTGAGCGGAATGACATGTAGCTCGTGTACATCCGCCATTGAGGCGGGACTGACGGGCATTCCTGGTGTTATCGAAGTTACCGTCTCGCTGCTATCGGAACGGGCGGTGGTTAAGCACAACGTTTCCCAAATTACATCCTCACAAATTGCGGATATTATTGAAGATCGGGGTTTTGAGGCAACCGTGTTAGATTCGGAAAGCCCGAAACTAGATGTCACCAGCCACACACTCGACAACATTGATACCTCAAAAAATCAGTTGGCACAAACGAGTACCACGATCGCCATCGAAGGCATGACATGCGGAGCATGTACGTCCGCTGTCGAAGGGGCTCTAAAAGACCAGCCAGGCTTAATACGTTTCAACATTAGCCTTTTAGCTGAGCGCGGCGTTGTTCTCCACGAACCGTCTATTTTATCTACGTCAAAGATCATCGAACTCATTGAGGACGCCGGTTTCGACGCAAAGGTACTCTCATCAGAAATGGATTCGTCATCTCAGCGCCATGCTTCCGCATCACTCAATTTCAGCATATATGGATTGACGGATGCTGCCTCTGCTACATCTTTAGAAACTCGGCTCCGCAACACACCAGGAATACTAGCTGCCGATGTGAGATTGTCGAATTCACGCGCTACAGTCACCCATCAGCCATCAAAAATCGGTATCCGAGGCGTCGTGGAAATAATCGAACATGCTGGTTACAATGCTTTGCTTGCTGATTCGGAGGACAACAATGCCCAGCTGGAATCACTAGCCAAAACTAAAGAGATACACGAATGGCGAAAAGCATTCTGGTTCTCGTTCTCCTTCGCTGTCCCCGTTATGCTGATCAGCATGATAATTCCCATGTATTTTCGGACCTTGGATTTTGGGAGCTTCGAAATCATCCATGGCTTATTCCTGGGCGACGTTGTTTGTCTATTCCTCACCATTCCTGTCCAATTCGGAGTCGGGATGCGGTTTTATCGATCCTCATTCAAATCGTTGAGACATGGTGCGCCTACTATGGATGTTTTGGTGATGCTGAGTACAAGTCTAGCGTTTGCATTTAGTATTCTAAGCATGCTTGTGTCGATGCTTTGTATGCCGCATACACGACCAAGTGTTGTGTTCGAAACAAGTACAATGCTTATCACTTTTATTACCCTAGGCCGCTGGCTGGAAAATCGCGCGAAAGGGCAGACATCTCGCGCATTATCCCGGTTGATGTCGCTCACTCCTTCCATGGCCACTATTTATGACGATCCAATTGCCATCGAGAAAGCAGCTGAGGGCTCCCGTGGCTATGGGAATGCAGCCGAAGAGAAAGACGCCATCACCAGTGGTGCAAAAAGTGCGAATCAAAAGTCGATCCCTACAGAATTGATTCAAGTTGGTGATGTTGTCTGCCTCCGCCCAGGAGACAAGATTGCAGCCGACGGAACCGTCATCCGTGGTGAGAGCTATGTCGATGAGAGCATGGTGACTGGCGAGGCTAATCCAATTCGCAAAATCCGAGGGAATCAAGTTATCGCGGGTACCGTCAATGGAGCCGGGTGGGTTGATTTTAAAGTTACGCGGACAGGTAGAGATACCCAGCTGAGCCAAATCGTTAAACTGGTCCAAAATGCACAGACGAACCGAGCACCAATCCAACGTATGGCAGATATCGTTGCCGGATATTTCGTTCCAGCTATCCTGACTCTAGGATTGGTGACATTTTTGGGCTGGATGGTTCTCAGCCATATCTTACCCAATCCACCAGAGATATTCCTTCGAGGGGGCAGTGGAGGTACGGTAATGGTCTGTCTCAAGCTTTGCATATCTGTGATCGTTTTTGCGTGCCCGTGCGCCCTCGGACTTAGTACTCCTACTGCTGTCATGGTTGGAACTGGTGTTGGAGCTGATCATGGTATTCTCGTCAAAGGCGGCGCAGCACTAGAGGCAGCGACAAAAATCCAACATGTGATATTTGACAAAACCGGCACATTGACGACGGGCAAGACAACAGTCGCTGATACTAAACTGGAACCCATCTGGGCATCCAATGAATGGCGTCGTCGCCTATGGTGGTTAATCGTCGGCCTTGCGGAAATGACAAGCGAACATCCTATCGGTAAAACTATCGTCACTGCAGCAAAATCTGAAAACGGGCTTTCGAATGACGACCCCCTTGATGGCTCCATAGTCGAATTTGAAGCAGTCGTCGGAAAAGGTGTATCTGCCATTGTTGAGTCCGCAGCCAGCATTGAACGAAACAGGTATCACGTCGCTGTTGGAAATGCAGTGTTCCTACGCTCCAAAAACATACAAATACCCGCAGCGGCGGATCCAGATAGCCAAGGCCCTACGACGACAGGGCTGACATCGCAAAGCTCCAAATACGACGTACTCAATGGTGCGACTAGAGTGCATGTGGCGATTGATAATAAGTATTCAGGCACAATATGCCTTCAAGATTCTTTGAAACCGACAGCAAAAGCCACCATCGCTGCTCTTCATCGAATGGGCCTTACCACGTCCTTGGTAACCGGCGATACTTATTCTACTGCTCTCGCCGTGGCCAATGCAGTAGGCATCCCAGCAGACTCGATCCACGCCTCCGTTACTCCTCTCGAAAAACAAGCCATCATCGCGGAGCTCCAAACTACATCCAGGCTCGCTGTCGCCATGGTTGGCGATGGAATCAACGATTCTCCAGCACTGGCAACAGCCTCGATCGGCATCGCGCTCTCCTCCGGCACGGACGTCGCCATGGAAGCCGCGGATGTTGTCCTCATGCGGCCTGACGATTTACTCTCCGTCCCCGCGAGTCTCTGCCTCGCCAAATCAATCTTCAGACGGATAAAGATCAATCTAATCTGGGCCTGTCTGTACAACGCCATCGGCCTACCATTCGCAATGGGCATATTTCTCCCCTTTGGAGGCATCTCGCTGCACCCCATGGCCGCCGGGGCCGCAATGGCAGCTTCGAGCGTCAGCGTTGTCGTGAGCAGTCTTCTTTTGAAACTGTGGAAACGGCCACGGTGGTTGGATGAAGAAAGACTGGAGAAAGAGATTGAAATGGGCTTGATCAGCGCGACGGGATATAGTCGCCGTGGAGCCGGTGGTTGGTGGAAGAAGAGCCCGGTTGGATCTGAGCAGAGTGGAAAGGTATGGCGGGGTATTGAATGGGCTGTGCAGAGGGCCTCGCGGATGATGGGGCGGAAGACGAGGCGGACAGAGGAGGAAGGTTATGTGCCCTTGCAAACCGTTGAGCCGATCAACTAAGTTGGTCTTGTCAGTTTTTTCCTCTCTTAGTATTGTTATTGTTATTTTTAGCTGTTATCGCTATTGCATTCTCGGGCCCTTGTACTTATTTCGGTTGAATGCCCCCGCGTATATACCCGCAACGCATGTCTAATGTTATACTCACGTATTCCTCTATTTTTCCTTGCATGAGCTACATCGAGACAGCATGACAGAGCTGAAAGCAAGAAATATCTGTGATTAGACTTGGAATTGTGGTCTCTGAAAACATGAAGATTTCAATCCAGTGTTAATTTGATGCCTTTGATTCATCACATCACGGTATTATCAAAATATGAGCTTCTGCTGCGACCAGCAGAGAAGAAAAGGGATATCATAAAACCAACGCCAAACATACAGACAAAATTAATCCTAGGAAACACATGAAATGGCACAAAACACCGTACATTATCCCAAAACAGAATAGAACCAAAAATACAAAATGCCGGGCTTCTGGCCAACTTATTAGTCCAAAATGCAAGGACCGTAATCCAGCCCGTGTAGAGAGTATTGGCTCAAACCTCTTTCCATCATTTACTTCAGGTAAAGAGCATGGCACTCAAACGAAGGCCCATAGCCCCTTTTGCCTATCGAGAAGGCCGTTGTCACAAACCACAAAGCGAGTGAACTAATTGCTATCAGGCGAATACCGACTTTTCCTTCGTCGTAGCTTTCTTTGGCGGCGGCGGGAAATACATCATCGGCTGGCCAGGGGTGCCAGGCTGCGCTGGATTGGTTCGCAATGGAAGGTCATTTGAGCCTCCCAATTGGTTGAAAGCCATTGTACGCGGGGTGATCGGCTGTAATAGCCCATTTTCCCCCTGCATAAAATTAGGATAACAGGGTGATTTGAGGGACTTGAGTTCTTCGAGGTGTCTGATTTTCTCGAGCTTCTTTTGCTGTCTTTCACGGGTCTCATCTGTCGGGAAGCACGATATTATGGCCAGGACGAGGTGAGCCAGGAAAATCACGCTACAAATGGCGTCAGCCTAGGGTTAATCAGACACGGAAGGTGTGAGAGACGCACATCAAAATGATTGTACACGCAAACCCTGATTTTGCCTGCATGCAATAGCCAACGTTACTTCGATGGGCTGCAACATTGCAGTTTTTAGTAATATACCACGGAGGGCCGGATTGAGGGTGCCCCGGATCGCTAGTATCGCTTCCAGCTTGCCACGCTGCAGACACACAATACAGTACTATCAAAACGGTATGGACCAGGACAGATAGAGGCGGGTAGAAGACGTGCAAAACAAACATCGGCGTTTTGGCGAGGAGGAAGAACGTGCTCAACACTGAGATCACAAGGTTGAAATTGGTAGAGCTGTTGCGGACAAAGAAGTCAGAATCGATTACTTTAGTCTTTTCGTTGACGTAAAAGAGATAAACATACAATTGCGTCCACGGCCTGGGCACCGTATATGGCTCGTAATTCGCAAATCTGTAGACCAGTTCATCTGGGGAGCTATTAAAACCATTATCGGCGCCATCTTGCCACAGCCTTTTCCTATATAGATTTGGGGCCGCAATGCCAAACAGAGCAAGGACTGCAATTGTAAACGGCAGCTCTATGCCGACGAGTATCTTGAACGCGAGTGGAGAGACGAATTTCCGAGGCAGATACCACATTATCTTCCCCATGGCGGGCGAAAGGAGTGACTCGAATAGACCGGATGGCGAGAGCTTCGTTGGAGTTGGCAGCTACAGCGGGCTCTTGTCTTTACGCCAGGCCAGCTGGCTGGACACTCATAGTAAGCTTGGGGGAGTTTGCGGCTAAACAGCGGGAGCGAAGGAGCAAGACCGACAGGTGTTCATTGGAAAGATAAGAGAAGTCGTCGCAAGACTCCTTTAAGCGCGCAGGTCGGAAAGGTCCCTCGTCTGACGGCATGATTGCTTCTTCTGGTTGGCCAAGCAGAATCACAGCCCGCGACCAGGGCCTGTGGGACAGAGAACTCTGCAGACCAGGGAGAGTGTGATGGCTCGAATTTGCATCTGCCAATAAATAGCAGAGGACATGGGTGTGTCTGCATGCCAATCACACGCTAACCTGGGAGACTGCAGATATTGCTTCTGACTGGCTGATCAAGGATTTAACCTGGCGGCAACCATCTTTTAGCACGACCACCGAGTAGCCGTCGGTCGATCACGGAGAAGAGAGCAGGCTTGACATGGTTGCAGGCGCTTCGCAGGTCAATGAGAGCAAGTCCATTACCGTCCATTACTGTTGAGAGAATCAAGGACCTTTTCAAATGGGCACTGCTATAGTTAGACAAAAGACATGTCGTTTGAAGAAACATGGATTGTCGTCCGGTTTGGTTTTGGGGCTGAAAAGGAGTGTTTGTATTGTTTGCTCGTGGACGGTGTTTGCTGTGTTTGTTCTGCTTAGATCAGCAGCCGACCCCCACCATTTTCTTGGCTTTTGTTGATGCTTCGCGCCTCGGCTCAAAAGCATCGCGACAAACTTCCATCACCACCACAAACCCGTTCCATCTTCCCGCTATCCGCTGTTCTATCGCCCCACTACGGAGTAATCTTGAACTATAAATTACTTGCTTCTCTTCAACTTGCCCCAACTTCAAAATGGGCACGCGCAGCGTTATTTGCATCTGGTACAAGGGTCGCTTCGTCGTCGCCCAGTATACCCAGTTTGACGGCTATCCTGAGGGGCAGGGAATCAAGATTTTAAAATTCCTTGCAGCTCCGGGTAACGTTGAGCGTCTCAAGGCCGGTCTCGAGCACGTCAAAATCATCAGCGAAGAAGAGCACAATGAAATCGCGGAAAAAGTGGAGGAGGACACCAGGGCAAAGCAAGCTGCCGGCGCCCAGATCTTGCAGTTTGATTTCAGCGGAAGATCTGAATTCGACCGCGCCTTCCCCTCTCTTTCCCGTCTTGCTGGTGGCAGGATCTTGGAACTCGTTGCCCAGGGTACTGCTGAGAAGCCAACCATGATTTACATGGACTTGGGATTCGTGAATGATGCCCTCTTCTGCGAATGGGCTTACTGTGTTGATCTCGACTCCGGCGTCTTCGAAGTGTTTGGAGGTGGTACTTCAAAAGAGCAATCCGGAAGCAAGCGATTCCAGGACGTTGGAGAGCCAGATGCGCCAGTTCCTCGCCTCGTGAAAAGCTTTTCATTTGACAACCTGCCAAAGGATCAGGATGAGTTCATCGATATCCTAAATGTTGCCCTGGAAGGTCCACAAGAGGCTCGTGATGGCGAGCAGGTCCAGGGCCAGCAGGAGGAAGCGCAGACTGCAGAAGACAACGACTAGTTCTTCAAAGGTATGGAACCTTCCGGATATCATATCTCCGGTCACTATTCGATGCTAATTCGGCGTGCACAGAGCTACACAACATCGGAAATATTGTAAGCCAATGCGTGGAAGCTTCGCCAATGATTTTGAAGCCTTGACATCAGGTAATAAGTGTTGACTAAGGGTTCCAGGCCCACAAGGAAACCATTCTGTGTCTCATCAAGTATTCTATGTTGAAATGCTTCTTCATCCTGAACAGCACGCATATACCACATGCAAGTGCTAGATATTGGAGGAAGTGCTGTCTGAAATTTACCAGATGCGTAGGCCCTAACCTGATAGTTTTAAAAGGAATCTCGAAACCAACGGACGTTGCGCGTTTTGCAGTCGATTCGAGGGCATTGTTCAAGTCCACCAAAGCGCTATAGTGGCGACCCTTGTTTACATGAAGCCTCAATCCGGCGCGACTTACTCTTTTCTCTCGCAATTCCACTTCCATCCGTACGCATGTATGTAGGTATATACATACGTACATATTTCCGATGGCGATTGGGGTGCACGTAATTCAAGTGTAGGATCCGCAGTTTTAGAAGAGTATTTCCTCAATCTTAAGGATTCAAACGTGTCTGCGTGAGCAGCCTCCTTTAACCGTAACAGAAATAAAGTTGTGAATTTAGTCCTTCTCTATTTACTTATACGCCAACGATATTCTCCATTCCCCTTCAACACCAGAATTTTATCCCGCCAACTCTTCTTCTATATCCAATGTTACAATTGCGGATTCGCTCTATCGTGAAACATCCCAAATTCAAACCGCTACCGCCTCCAGTTCATATACATATTGGGGGTAATAGCTGGCAGTCCATCCCCATGTCGACTGCTAAATCCATCAATCAGTCCAATAAAACCAGTGTCCCTCATGAAAATCGCACTTCGGCGGAACCCCGTCAGAGCACCCTATATCCCGTCCGCCTATCGCATATAGAACAAATCAATCCGACGATTCGGCTCCTTCAATTTGCAATACCATCACGGGTCGATGGCCGGTCAAATACTGTAAGTTCTACCAGTCGAATGGCCTAACTGAATAACAAAAAAGTTATCATAAGACATTGGATACTTGGAGCACTAAAACCGCCTTTTCTCTTCCCAAACCAATAGTCAAACCATTCATCACCAATTCCGCCAAAAGCCTTCACTTTCCTCCCCGGTCAATGGCTAGACGTCCATATTCCCTCGCTTCGGGATGCAGGCGGCTTCACAATCACTTCCACGCCACTGGAAGCGAGCCCAGAGTCCTCCGACTACCCGTATATTGAACTTGCTGTGCAAGACGCGCCCGGAAATCCTGCTGCAGCATGGCTCTGGCGGCCTGAAAGCGAAATCCTTGGCGCGGAGGTACAGGTCAGGGTCGGCGGATCATTCGTTTGGCCGCCGTCCGCTGCAGGGGGTGGAATCCCGCTGGCGGAGATTCGGAAAGTCATCTTTGTGGCGGGCGGAGTGGGAATCAAGTATGTGTCCCCTCGCTCCTTCGTGTCCTTTTGTCTTTTCCTGGTTTCAGGCAAAAGCCATGTCCATTGTCAGCGTAGATGGAAGCTTACAAGAGCAGCCCCCTCATATCGATGATTTCTCATATCCACAATACCCGCTCTGAATTGCATCCATCTACAAGGATTCATCTCCTCTACTCTACAAAACTTCCCCCACCGATGAAAAATCAAAACCGAGAAAATCAGATACTATTTCTTCCGCGTCTTCTTGAAATAGTCCACTCAGAGACACGAGGGCACCCCCAGCAAGACAAACCAAAATCAACTTTTCAGCCGCTGGACGTGAGACTATACCTGACAAATCTCTCCGCCCAGGGAACCTGTACCAGCGAATTATTGGCTGAGTCTCATCATGGCATATCCATCTATGACCGCCGAATCACCGCTACTGATTTGCAGCATCTTATCGGTAGCGACAGCGATGAGCGGGTAAGGACAGTATGCAATGTTTGTGGGCCGCCACAAATGACGGACGAGTTTGTAGACGTGCTCAAGCACATTGTTGGAGATGATAGGGTGTTTTACGAGAAGTGGTGGTGATGGAGCGGCCCGATTTTTGACGGGCGTACTGAGTTCATGTTGCAGGAAACACCTGTGAGGTGCTGATCATATAGACTGCGGAGCGTAATTTGTTCAAATAATGATAGAAGATCGGAATACCAAGGAGCCGGATTAAAAGAGATAAGTAAACCACGGTGCCAGCGTCATATGCGGTACAGTAACAAGGTGCCAAAAAGCGAAAGGGTAAACCTGGCATGTACAGGGAATCCCAAGCCTATATGCATACATGAAATAATATATATAGAAAAGCAGCAAACCTGATTGCTAATGAATCAGTATATATTCTTTCACTAAACTCAAAGCAGTAAACAACTTACAAGCACACTAACGCCCCATTCCGTACTATACACACATTATGAGCCATCTGTAGCTTCAGGTGGTCTGAGGAGGGACGACTTTTCCACCGTCGACAAGCATCATTTCATCAACTCGTTCTTCTGTATTTCCGGATTCAACACGTTTGTAAGAAATAATACGGGCCGCGTTCATGTCAATGTTGAAGAATCGAACCCGGCGGACGAATCCTCCGTATCCGCCGTATCCGCCGAAACCAGCACCACCAGCGTAGCACATCCACAATGCTGGCAGGTCCTTTTCATTCTTTTCAAGCATACAGTAGTCATTCGCGTGGTCACTGTAAAGTACCAATCAGAAAAGGCAGTTCAGGTACACAATGGGACCGAAGCAACTTACTGTCCACACGATACGACGACAACATTTTCGTTGACAAGAGCGTCTTTAAATTCTGAATTAAATCTAGGGGCCGTTGGGGCCTCGCGCCAACTTCCTTTATAATAGTTTTTGACCTTTCGGTATTCGGAGAGCGGGATATGGATGAATGCTAAATTCATATGAATATGGGTATATGCCTGGTGATCCTTCTTCAGGCTTTGCGCAGTATTCCTAAACCAACTGATCTGGCTAGGCTTTAACCAATCGTAGCCAGGATATCGACGCTCGTCGGGAGAATATTTGTGCGTGTCGAGCATGTAAAGGCTCAACGCAGAGTGGGACGAGGTATGTCCGAGGATTTCGACAACGTAGTTCCCAACGCCTTCTACATCAGCCGGGCCAGGTTTCGCGAGAGAATAAGGCAGGTTCTGCGTTAAAGTCATGAGGGCATTTCTATTAAGGTCACCCTCATCGTCGTGGTTACCGAAGATAACCGTGTAGGGGATCTTGCGTCTAATAAAGAGCTCTGCAAATTTCAGAGTTGCCGTCTGGGCATCGGGTGCAGTATCGCCATTGATCTGGTCACCACTCAGTACCACCAAATCCGGCTTCTCTTCGTCAAGTAATTTACCCCAAAAATTCAAGTGTTCGCGGGTCGGCTTCACACTTATCTCCAGCCTTGAGGTCGGGAACTGGATCCCGGCAGGTGCCAAAGCCAGTCGCTAAGTGCAAATCCGAGGCTTGCATGATCTTGAATTTACCATCCTTCCGTATCCTTGGGACCGGTTTTTCCAGCTTTCCACTCGTCCCTCTCCGTATAGTTAAACGCGGTTCAGTATGTGTATCCATTAATAGCGGAGTGTCTTTTATCTCCCAGTTCGGACGGGGATCCACAGCGTCCGCGCCGAAGAGAACATCCACCGCTGTAATTCGCTTAGACTCCCCCGTATGATGAGACGACCGTAAAAGCCATATTCCTCCAGGCCTAGATTCCCATTTCTTATCGACTCCGGCTCCAGGATCAAGCCGGCCCATCTTCAAATCCACGACAACTTTTTCATCCGGGAGGAGCTCCTCCTCATTTTTCCTCTGGACATGTAGGTAGGCTTTATACGTCCATCCTGTATTCAGAAAGAGATCCTTTTCCACTCGATACCACACGCTTGGATCCAACCTGCAGGTGGAGAACAGATTCAACGTTGAGCATGTAGCTATTGTGACGTCCGTAACAACGAGTCCGGGGTGATGAGTGGGCAGATACTGGTGCAAACGACTGGGAATAACGGAGACCTGGCTGTCGAGTATTAGGACGAAAGTCAGTACCAGCACGACCAGCGCACCAAGTTTTGAAACCGTCCGCAACTAGACAGGAGCATAGTGTGTTAGTCTGGCTAGATTATGAAGAAGATAGGCGTCACATACTATCCGGCGGTTCATCCTGGCAGCGCGGCCCCGTTTTGGGAGGACAACTAAAGGAGACACCCAGGGCTATCTCTTGCTTGTGTCACGGATGAATTGAGAGGTCAGTGCCAGAGCTCTGCGCATTGTGCAAATCGCCGTCCTGGAGACAGGGTGTAGAACGGGAAGACGCTTCGTCTAAAATCCAGAAACAGCGGGTGAGGGCGATCAGAATGAAAACCTTGGATTGTCTATTCAGCTCTCATAGTGGGCCTTGCCGTGCCTTGCATCGTCCACGGTTGCATCCTATTATCTACTTCGGAACGTGATTGTTGTCGAGATTCGGTTTAGTGAAGGAGCCAATTCGCGGAAATACTATCAGCCGGTCAAAAAAGCTGAAGCTTGACGGTAAACTAGCTAAAGAGCTCTTCTCAATCCACGGCACCACCGTCAAGCACCATTGTCTTAATTCCTGGGATTCTTCTTTCTGAAACGAATGTCGCCACAGCCCATTCTTTGTTTGCCAAAGTCAATATCCCATATTGGATGTCGAAATTCCTCGCTCACCTCCGTCGATTCTTCCGGCCGCTCGGAGCACCAATCTCACATGGAGGAGCGATAAACACAAATTTCTCCAGGTTTCAGGAAGGCGATACAGTGTTGATAAACGGGAAGCACCCTATATTAACTAAGCCGCTGGGGAAGAACAAGCGGACTGGCGTCAGCCGTGGATCTCTTGAGCACAATGATATCATCGGCAAACGGCCGCGAGATATAGTACAGGCACAAAAAGGCACGAGGGTTAGTGTGCTACATGGTAGATCGCTCGGCTAACCGCTGTTTACTCTCGCCAGGTGTTGGCTATAGAGTTACGCTCCCTAGTCTGGAGGAATATGCAACCTTTAGTCCTCGACTAGTAACACCGGTACGGAGCACTCCGAACCTTCGAAGAAATAACCAGGAAGCATTTAGCTGATTTTAAAACCAGTAGATTTACCCTGCAGATGCCAATTTAATCGTGAACCTCTTAGACATTCATGCTCCCAACGCTTCGGGACAGGAGGAACCAAATGAGCCCCTTGAAATTCTGGAGGCAGGAACCGGCCATGGATCACTGACACTTCATCTTTCTCGCGCGATAAACGGTGCGAATACCTGTCCACCACCAATCCCATCTCGCTCTCAACAGAAGGTTATCCCTGAAGTTTCCACCGGTGACGAAACAGGCACTTCAAAGAGCAAGGAACAAGAAGTGTGGGACGCATGGCGCGCAAACCGGCAAGCTATCATACATACCGTGGAAATATCTTCGAAGCATTCTTCCCATGCTGAGAAAATTGTTCGTGGGTTTCGACGCGGTATGTATGCCGGAAACGTCGATTTTTACGTCGGAAGTGTAGAGAATTGGATCGAAGACCAAACTCGGCGTCGCGGTAAAGGGCTGTTTTCCCAAAAGGCTAAACCCTTTCTTTCGCACGCCATCCTCGATATGCCGTCGGCGCATTTACGGATACCTCATGTTACCCCCATTCTCAAGGTTGATGGGGCCCTTGCCGTGTTCATGCCGAATGTGACGCAAATAGGAGACTGCGTTAAGCTTATCAAAGATCAACGATTGCCATTGGTTTTGGAAAAGGCAGTAGAGCTTGGGATTGGTATCAGCAGCGGCAGAACCTGGGATATCAGATTGGTCTCGCGACGGCCAAGTGCAATAAAAAACAAAGACCTAAACCAGGCAACGCGAACTGGGAATGAAGAGACTGAGGATATATCTGAAGATGAAAGCCAAAGTATCACCACTAATGTGGCCGCCGAGGAACCACAGGCGGGCGACTCGGTTCTCGTCTGCAGGCCGAAAGTTGGAGAACGTATTGTAGGAGGAGGCTTTGTAGGGTTATGGAGAAGGATCAGAGAAGATTAGAGAACAATACAGAAGTCGAACGTGCGACTACCTTGCTGTGCGGAACTGTCAGGAAGGACGCATCCTCACAGTTTGAGCCTCGAGCTTGGCCGTTTTTGATTTGGCAAAGATGAAGTGGGATCATCGCTGCGCGCCAGAACCCACTCAGCAATGTCTTTCACGAGAGCCTCTTTTATGCCGTCTGGCTCAGCATGCAACTTGTGGTAACCGCCTTCATATGCCTTGAAAGTTTTATCAGAGACATCGACGGCCTCCGTGAAAAGCTTACTAGCCTCAAAATCGTTGATCTCGTCCGCGGTTCCATGGCCAACCCAGAGTGCAGGCGTTTGCGGGTGCATCTTCTGCAGCGAATCTTTAGAAATGTGTTGGAGCGCATCCAGCCAAGCAGCTCGATCCAGCATTCCTGCAATCCCCCCAAGCGTACCCGTATGATGGCAAAGTGAATCCTGTTTCCATTCTTCACAAACTCGAAGGTCGCGGCACAGTAACGATGCCTCCAGGGGCTTGTAGAGCTGGTGGTGCGGTCTTAACTTGGCAACCAATCTTCCCAGAAACACAGTCAACTTGTAAGGGCGTGTACTTGGGTGTAGAGCTATTAGCGGGGAGTATGCTAAGACTCCGCGGACGTATGGTGGGAAGGAAGTAGAATTCAGCATGTAGTAAAGCACCTGTCCGCCTCCCATGCTGTGTCCCATGAGGAAGAGAGGTGCAGTAACCTGCTGCTCTCGAAGCGACTCATGGACATGAGTTAAAAACGAATGGATATCCGCGAGGACAGCTTCAGTGGTACCCGTACGGCCCCAGGATGTAGAATCGGTCACGGAGCGGCCCCATCCTCTGGTAAATGATGGTAAGAGAGGTCGTAGATTCGATGTAGCGGGATATGCTCACCGTTGATCAAACGCCCGCACTTCAATCCCATGTTGGGTCAATCCAGGAAAGAAGTCGTAATACGCATTGCCTAAAACCGGACTTGAGCTTCATATTTTGGATGTCCCAGCAAGATGGGCTAAAACATACAATGGTCGCTGAAACCGTGGACGAAAACAATCACCGCTTTGGGTGGCCCGTCAGTCTGTGGATTTCCACAACATCAATACCGATATTTGTAACAAATGGTGCTAGATTAAAATGAAAATGGGAATGCTACCTTCCATGACTTGGTGTATAGTTTTGTCCCATCAGGCAGTGTGTGCCAGCCTTCTTCTGTAGTAGCCATCGGTGCAGCTGGCTTAGATTCTCCACAGATTAATAGAAGTTCGTAAGGTTAACGAGACAGTAAGTGCGGGGCTTTTATGGTATATAGAGCAGTTGCAGCGGATTCGGATGTCTGAAATGAGGCGAGACAAGAGAGGTTGAGGATGACGAGCAACCACGGAGTAGTTAGGTCAGGGTTTCACATGCCACCTACGGAGTAACTGACTAGTTAACTAGTTAACGCAGCTCAAGTATGGATTTTCCCAAGGCAATACAATATTGCTCTCCATGTTATGATGACAATCATCATTTTACAACCCGCGGATGAAATTCATGCTTCAAAATCCGGTTCGGTGGGATGGAAAGTATACGTGGATAAGTATAAATGCAGAAAGAGGGTAGAGTCATACACTATCGTCTTTCAAATCCATATATAAGTAACCTATAACTCCATGTTATATGCAGAACCTTTTGTAGTTTTAGCCAAAAAAAAATAAAGCCCTTGTTTGTGCAGCCTGGGGCCATGAAATCCATATCAAGCGTTATATCAGCCTTCTAAATCCGTGGTTCCTTTCCGACTCTGCTTTTCCCTGTCTCTTCGTAGCCTCTCCTGTCTCTCCCTTTCCTGCACATCCAATCCAGTCTTCGTAATCTCATGCTCTTTGTTCAGTTTCTGCCGGCCGATTAACAAACTCACAAAGAATCCAATAGCTGCTACCGAGGTATAAAATATCCACATCACTTTCAAGCTTTGATTATATGCATTGAGAATTGGGATCCTCTCCCTGTCCGGAAGTGCCCTAACGAAATCGGTAGAGCCGCCTGCAGAACCGCCTTCAAGTGCTTTGATCGTCTCGGGGGATAGAATCGAACTCAAGGTTCGGATATTCGCGCGCATTCGATTCTGGAACACCACACCACCCAGCAAAACAGAGATGCTGTTGGCCATGTTGCGGACAAATCCAAAGGTGGCAGTTGCGGTGGCGATGTCACCGGGCCTGAGATGGCTTTGAAGCGCAATCAGCGGTGCTTGGAAATTTGGACCGATGCCAAGCCCAGCGATAAGTTGGTATATGATAACTCGGACCCAAGACATGTGTGGTGGTAAATCGATATAGAGGCCATGGGCAAGAACTATTGTAGCCATACCAATCCATATAGGCGGGAGGCACAAACCCGTCTTCTTGATAAATATCCCTATCAACGCAGAAACCACGGAAACCGAAATGATGAAAGGAAAAAGATAGATTCCAGACTGGAGAGGAGTAGCCCCCAAAACAACCTGAAAGTATAGCGGCAGGAAATAAGATCCGCTGGTGTAAAGAAAACCGTGGGCAAAAGTCGTTCCATAAGCTGCAATGGTTGATCGGCGAGCAAATAGCCACAAAGGCATAATTGGATAGTATGCCAGTTTCCATTGGATGAGCAAGAACAAGGCAAAAGTGAAGATGCCAAAAATGATCAGGCATAACACGGTCGCCGAACTCCATGGAAACGAAATACCTCCATATTCTAGCCCAAGAAGAAACATAACAGTACTGCCAACAATGGTTAACGAACCAAGCCAGTCAATGGCTTTAAGTCCAGCAATCAGTGGAGTTTTTGGTGTGTGGACCTCAAAGAAGAAAAATATGATCACGAAGGCGATACCGTCGATGGGAACTATTTGCCGTCAGTGCTGCGATTCGCAAGAAAAAATTCAAATTTATCGTACGATTTATATAAAAACACCAGCGCCAGGTGACATATTGGGTCATAATACCACCGACCACCGGACCAACAGCCCCAGCAAGGGCCCACACCATCCCGATTATGCTATAGTATATGCCGCGGGAACTATTCAACTCGTTAGATATTGGTATGAAAAAGGGCCTGAAAGGATCATACCGGATGCTGAAGAGGTCACTGATAGAGATATTAACCAGAGCAAGAAGGCCGCCGCCTCCAACACCCTGAACAGCTCGCCCACCAATAAGCATTCTGATGTTGATACTGACGGCACATAGAAGCGAACCAATTAGGAAGACTACGTTTGCCGTTAAAAGAATTGGTTTTCTCCCAAAGATATCGCTGACCTTTCCCCAAATCGGCGTTGAAGCTAACAAATCATTAGCGAAGCACAAACAGGTAGCAGTCTAGCAACCCTGCTTGATCGTACCAGCAGCAGCCAGCAGATACGCGGAGCCAATCCATGTATAATCTGCTTCAGAGGTCCGAAATGTTTTGGATATTGTAGGGAGCGCAGTGGTAATAATCGTCTGTCAGGTTCTTTTGTTAGGACGACTGTGGTCATCTGGGATGAAATTTCACTCTAGTCCACCTTACCATATCAAGAGCGGCAAGGAACGTCGCCAGCTGATTGTTTGTTAGTTTCATATGCCACCCTGACAACACGAGGGTACTCACGCAAAGAGCAGTTATTATAACGGCAATTCTACCCTTCGTCATCTTTGGCTCCTCAGGAGTAACTGGCTGTCCCTCCGGCGCCTGTCCGACTGGTTTTTCTGACGACAAGGACGCATCACTGGTGCTCACGACAATTGCCTGTGGTTCCTTCGTATTGCCTGCATTGCATGTGGTATCACAGCTTTCAGTGTCTATTTCTTCCGCGACGGTGTTGTCTTTCTCCTCCTCGAGCACATTTAGCTCTTTGTTCTTCAAAGCCGCCATATCTAATCAACCTCGGGAATCGAGACCACTCAACATGGCAGAAACATGAAGTATGCGAGATACTGCCTGCGAGTTGGTTGCGCCAAACCCACTGGAGCCAGAGAAAAAGCGAATAAGAAAGATTTATGGGTATATACGGAGTGCTCTCTCTATATATGGAAGAAACAGAAAGAAAAAGCCAGCATGGTGGAATAAGGCGAAGAGAAGTATTAGACAGAAGGGCATTATTAAGTAGCAATGGCCCTTTTCTGGAACTCCGAGCTGGCACTTGAGCAGGCCAGAGACTTTCGGCTATTTTATTCCGCCATCGTCCAGGTTAACTAGTTACCTCGCCTGGGGGAAGATATGCCCCACTGACAGAGGATGATTATTGTTGGGATCGGGTTTTGACTGATCAAATAATTGGTTCACGCTGTATCATTCTGTCGAGCCCTGGAGGTCTTTTGACGCTCCCAACAATTGCAGCCGTTTGTCGGAGCTGAGCCGGAATTGCGGCTTCCAGTGGTCAAACCCGGTCCTGTTTCTTGCAGGGCGTCGAATATTTGTAAGCGCAGCACCCGCACCGTTGGGGCTTAAACGAGCTGCTGGCCGTGTTATCAAGAAGTCAATTCCCCAAAGAAGGCCCGAGAATCACTAAAATTAATGCATGGCTTTTCCTATTCCGACGCTAGGGCCACGGGCGGGACTTGCATTTTTTGCTCTTGTCAAGGATGGCCCTGGCCAATACAATGCCTTTTCAACCCGTATTTTGCTGATCATGGCTAGAATGGATTCTTGATAGCTATCGGGACTGAGCGCCTGGTCCCGACTCCCGAGAATTGACTCGACGTTTGCTCAACCTTTTCCACGTGAGGTTTTCCACGTGGACGGAGTGTAGGACAAGATGAAATATCGGGCGTCGAATGAGTGCAGATGAAGTTTTGGTCTGATCAGCTTGAACAGATAAAGAGGCACTGTATGCCATGGACTGTTTGTGCAGCTGCTCTAACTTCCTATTCTAGTACCATGTATGGATGGAGCAAAGTAATGGGGAGACAAAAATATGCTAACCTTGTCTGCCATTGCAAAAAAAAATAAAGCTAGAGCGGCACCAACCCCAAGCAAACAAAACTAGGTAAGAAGATAGAGAAAATCTCTGATTGCTCCCCAAGTCCGGCCTCCGCAACTCAACCATAACACCGCTCAGCAGCCTTTCGCAGTAAGACGAGAGAAAGTATGGCAAAAAAGCAAGGGAGATCAGGGATACGGAGTACATGTATAACGGGACAGGAGAAAAGCGCCACGCCATCAAGGATGTTTCCAAGAACGAACGCGAACGACAAACCACGACGCGCGCGAGACGGAAGGTGTAGGAGCAAGAAAGAACAATGCAAGCAACACTATAAAACAGAAAGGACATGGAGAAAAGCAAAACCCAAGCAAGAGCACCGTGCGCAAGAATTCCGAAATACGAGGGGGATTCGTCGGCCTCACGTCGCCTTATCCCGTTGCGGCCCAAAGTCTGCTTCTACCGGTTTGTTCTTCTTGCTCTTCACCGAAAACTCAGCCATGAGAGCAATGTGGTCGCTAGGGAAATGATAGTTTGGGAATCCGGGAACTCTCTTGAGGTATTCCTTTTCGACTTCCCCAAGTAAGGCGGTCACCTGGAGGCAGTTGGAAGAGTACCAGATGTAGTCGATGACGTCTATATACTCAGGCGTGTAGTTGGTGAAGGCCAGTTCCCCTACGGCACCATACGCCGATTTTAAGGTAAAAGGGTGGGTCATTCCCATGCGGCTCAGATTGCCGTATAAGCGCTTTTCAAGGTCCGGATGTTCTTCAGCCAATCGACCATGAGCGAGAAGATTATACACGGCTGAACCGGGGCACGAGTTGAAGTCGCCACAGACAAGGATGGGAATCTGCGAGGCACTAGTATATTCGACTGATGGGGCTGGCTCCACGGGGGTTGATGCTTCTTGATTTTCCTTTCCATCCTCTGGCTCTGAGAACCTAAACGCCGTTTTGTCCGCGCATGGAGGGATCTTGGTATACTGCTCGGCGAGTTTGGTAACTTCCTCCATCATGATTGCGACTTGGATAAGTTTGACGTCCTTGTAAGCCGGATCCCAGTGGATGTGGACGTTTACGACAATGAAACGTTCTCCTGTAAGCCTGTTCTCCAAGAAGACCACGACCGCAATGTTGTCCTTCTGCCACAACCGGTTGTATATATCATCCTGACCCTTCGCATCCGGCCTTCGGACCGCAGTTTGACCGAAATGAATCATGCTCTTCTCAAGGAGGATGTATTTGCTTCCCTTGAAAAAGGTAGCACAGCCATCAACATACTTAGCTTCCTCTTCCGGCATACCCTGGGCTCGTCCTTTGGGCCAGTAGACACCCTTGTAATCATTATACGCAAGCTGCTCGCGGAAATATCCATGGAAGCTCTTCTGGTCAATCTCTTGCAAACATACGATATCCGCATTGTGCCCGCGTATCTCGTTCAACAAGAGATCCTGCCGAAACTCCCACGCCAACGCCTTGGAAGGTACATATCCATATTGCTGGTTGGTAGCATACTTATCACACAAAGTATTATAAGTGAAAACCGTAAATTTGTTGTCACTGGCACCGTTGGCAGAACTCTTGCCGGTCTCATCGAGGACGATCCAATCGCGGTTGGAAGGGGGTAAATGGACTGTTCTATAATTAGCTCAAAATCTATTTGAAATGGCCTATCTCCTTTACCTGGCATCTCCTCTTTGAGATACTTGATGAGCGACTTTGTCCCCTCCTGCATGATGCGCGACTTCAGAATGTCTGCCAATGGATTGCCTTCAATCCCGAGGGTATCAAGCTGATAAAGACATCCAAGTTCATACGGAAGAGTTTGCAAGTTGTTGTCAAAAAGCAGGAGCTTCTTGAGATTGGTAAGCATGCCGATTTCTTCTGGGATTTCGGTCAATTCGTTGCTGGAAACGTCCAAGTGGGTTAAACTCTTCAATTCTCCAATGCTGGGAGGGAGTGTTTTCAATTTGTTATGGTTCAAATATAACTTGTCGAGGAACGTGTAGTGGAATAGCCCGTTTGATAGTGCGCGAAGTCCTTGGCCGCCGAAATCAAGAGAGACCCATCCTTGTCTGCGGTCGTCTTTGACTGCTGTAGCTCGATTCCGCTCTGTTGCCCCATTTTCGTTCTGATCGGCCTGGTTGGATGATAATTGAAGGCCTTTGGTTTGTTGTGCAACTGCTCGTGCGTAGTAATGGGGTGAGCTCGCTTGTCTAGACTCGGCAGCGAGCTGGAGTTGTTGCTGCCAGTGTTCATTCATTGGCTCTTCAATTTCGTCCTCCACATTTGTTGTTGTTCCGTTCTGCAGGTGGGAGGGGGTGAAATGTTGGTTTGCATTGGATAACGCTCCACCGGAGAAATTGTGTTGGTGAGCCAGGTTCGGGGTGGACTGCGAATGGTGAGGATGAGGCTGTTGGGCATGGTGCGGGTGGTGTGTAGGATGCTGAAACTTTGGCATCGGCATTCCGAACCGTTGATGGGACTGCCCATTCATCATGACAGGCTGTCCCTGGTGGCCTTGAGAATACATCGTGTATGAATTGTGGCTAGGTGATTGGTTTAGGGGAGGAGAGCGCGAGGGAGAGGGTGTATCGGTATTGAACTTTAGCCTGCCCGTGGGAGAGCCTGTTCCGTTTCGAATAAGGTGTCGTTGGTGAGTGGGGTGATGATTGTGCTGCTGAGTCTGATAATAAAACTGCCCGGCCCCAGGCTGCTGGAACCGGTAGGTACCATCTGCCATTTAACGAGGCAGATGAGACCGAGGGTGTATTTCGGACAGGGTCAAACGAGAGATCTTTAGAAAGTGGGCAGTCGAGTCAGCGGTTGGTGGCAGAGGCGTTGAACGAGCTGGACTTCTTCGTTTCTTCAACATCAGGTCCTAGAGCGGAGCCCTGGAGTGAGTGAGTGTGCAATCAGGCCTGATCACGTAGTGAATGCTCCTGTTTAGGCCAATGGAGTATTCACTTCACCGGTTTTCATTCACTAGGCAGAGGCGTAGACGGAGAGTAGCGCCAAAGTGACGGGAACGTCAGCAATGAAGCGGCTATTGCTTGTCGTCAAAGAACGCTGGGCTAACAGAGAGTATCGAGACAATACCACCCAGGAATAAAGCAACTTTGGGGCGTTGACATGGAGAGAATGCTCATTGATCAACCAGGCTCTTTGACGCCGTTCCAGGAAGCAGTTTGAATCCAGGCGGGAGAACCTGATGCTCACGTGATGTTTGGGGTGGCTGAGGTCATGTGATATGCCAGATTCGGCCAAAATGCTGTTCATCTTTGCGAGACACAATAACAACCACTCCATCCAGGACGGGCATTGTCGACGTCCTCGCAGTTATATAGCCGTCATTGTTGCGATCGATAGCTAACTACAGGTCGAATGAATCTCGAGGATACTCCCTCGTAAATTGTCGGGTTTCTCGCCGGTTTTTCGATTCCTCGAGCTCTCAGTGATTCTCCAGAAACGAAACAACCAACTATGCACTAACTACAACAACTCATGGTTGCTTTCACCAGACTGTGGTACGACCGACTACTTGGAAATAGAACATTGCTACAATGCTACTTATAATTTTGATCCTTTCCAATAATGAACTGATCAACCAGCAAGCCGATCCAGCAACCGCCGTCTCTGTGAGGTCTCAGTGCTCCTCATGCATCTGCACAACTCTGCCTCTGCTGTTACTATCTTTACATTTTTTTTCAGCAAGGATCTGATCGATAGTCTCCACGACCCTTCTTCTATCCTTCAGCTGATCGTCGCCGCTGACCGACCATGAAATCCAAGTTTCGAACCCGTCCTCTGAGCCGGGACCACTGTTCGCAAACGTTCTATTTCAATGTGGAATGTGCAAACCCATACATATCACGCCTCCTGACTGGGTAGCTGGTATCGGACGTCGCTGAACAGTGCCCCTTGAGTGCAATACGAGCTGGAATTGGCGAGAGCAAGCCGAATCAGGTTTGATTCGGCGATTTTCATGGCATCGCTTCATAGGGTCGCGCATGATTGGAAGCCAAGCTCTACTAATTAACAAGGTTATTCCTAGAGATGAAACATCTATCGCCCATGGAGATATTTTGATGCTATTCAATCTTCGGCGCTCTCTCGAGCTAGGTAAGGAAAGGAATGCAGGTTAACTGCATGTTGTGGTGCTGTTGTAGTTATTCCAGACGACTGGAGCCGCCTGCGTCATTCCAATGCGGCCAACCATTGGACGGGCATCGATAGTCCGTTGGCGCGTTCGATGCAGGGGGAGAGGACGCGGGAGGCTTCGGTTGCATATGCAACAGAATATCCGAGGGTTCTGGTTCGCCAAATGAAATATTAGTAGCGGAAGGGCACCCACCTGCCATCTCTGTGTTGTGAGACTCGGCTCTATCAATTGTAGAAAAGCTTTTGCGTCTCCTGAGTGTGGCAAGCTGGCTATGGAGTATATGGAGTACTTCGCCCAGAGCACCAGGGCTCGAACGTTGCGGTTTGCCCTACCACAAATTTCCGTCGAACACCACAAGCCAGTTAGGCGCATTTTAAAAGTCTCCCGTCTAACCAGCACGCGTCTGAGCCAGCGCCACGACCACGAGGCAATATCGAGGCCGGTCCCGCGCCCGGAGATCTCAGCAGGCCTAGGCGATTCGAGAAAAGAGTCAGAACTATAAATGATACGGCAAATGTCACGCCAACAATTGCCCCGCAGTAACTCCTAGTTAAAGCTCCCTGGAAAGCCCGTTATTTCCTTAAAACACAACAGTCCCAGCTTTACTCCGAAAGATAGTTATCTTTCTGTTAGCACTGGGCGTTTGTCCTGCACATAATTGATTGATTTTAGAGACGGGAGAATCCGATCCCTTTCCCATTCTTTCCAGTGCCCTTGACAAGCCGGCTATCATACCCCTGGCGGTGCAGCGATCGATCTCAAGGTGACCGGGACAGATCCTAGAAGCACCCCTATCCCTAGTTGCCCTTCCTGCCTCGAGTGGAGCACAAAGCCGATAATTTTTCCTGAAGAAACGGCTCAAAAATTTTCAAGGAGAACCAGATTTAAATCGACGCGGAATATGGCTGGCCCGGCGGGATTAACCTACCTTTACATCCCTCCAACCTCGTTCGCATCCGACCCCAGAATCCACAATGAATTCTATAACCTCTCCAGCATGACAATAGCCTCCTCTTCCTCGAGCTCTTCTTCTGCAGACTACACAACATACCCTCTGGTCTGCCAACATGGACCGAACATATCTGCGTGACCCGGGATAATCCGTATCCGCTCCCATGCGACCTCCCCGAAATCCATCGCCAATCGCTACGATCGCTGATGCTGATGCACGTCTTCGGTGCGCCGTTCTGCTCCCCCCACTTCAGTGAAAATCCACCGAAACGGGTGCTGGAAATCGCATGTGGCTCGGCAATGTGGTCAAGCGCGTGCCACGAGTATTTTGCGAAGCGAGGACATCCAAATGTTTCTTTCACGGGAATTGATATTATAAGCATCGCTCCGGATTTACAAAAGGAAGGTGTCAATTGGCAATTCAAACGCCACGACCTACGGAGTCCGAAACTGCCCTTTCCAGACGGATATTTTGATTTCGTGTTCATCAAAGATGCTGGCGTTGCTCCCACTGGTCCGGATCTGCAAGCCGTTCCGTTGTCAGAGCCGCTCCGGGTTCTAAAAGCGGGTGGCATCCTTGAAGTCTGGGAATCGGATTTTATCTTCAGATCTCTGCTTCCTGATCCACCAAGTGCGCCTGGATTGTCGCAGAGGGACCAAGAACAGGCCGACGCCACTGGGACATACACCATCTTCCCTGCCACACCGTTCGCAGACGCGCAAAACAAATATTTGCGCGACTATAACTTGTGGACTGAAAAAGCATTCGAACTACGCAAACTTACTCCCATGCCGTGCGCCACAATCAACTTGTCGTTTACGTCTGAATCGGAATCCTTCCAAAGCGTGGATAGTCGTAGAATCGCCATTCCCCTTGGCGAAGTGAAATGGGAACACAAGTCGAACGGGGGAATGAGTCCACGCAAGAATTTAACAGAAGATCAACTATCTTTGCGCCATACCGCTTTGCTGAATGTCATTCAAATGATTGAAAGTATGGAGCCGATACTGATGGAGGCGAGTGGAAAAGGTAGGGCTGAGTGGGACCGGTGGTGGGCGGGTATGACGCAAGACCTGCTGCAAAAAGATGGAGTCGCGAGCGGAGAGTGTTTGGAAGTCGGTGCCTGGTGGGGCCAGAAGCGATGAGAGCACAGTCGCATTGTGATTCAACAGGGATATCTTGTTGCTGTGTTGTGATCTCCACCACTGCGAGCACCAGGCTTTATATATCACCCGCTTCGAGTGGACGGATGCGTGTTCGCTTTCGCCGGAACGGCGTCAAAGGCTCGATTTTTCATGGGTTGGCATAATGATTTTTCAGGTAACGATAGCGTCGCAGGTAATATCTGCGATATATTGCTTTTAGCATGGCGTTCCGTTGGCTGATCGATGGACTCGCAACGGGGATTCAATGAATAGAAATGGGGTTGTAAGGAAAGTAAAGGCTGGGCCTTTGTGTATATAACGAATTTTCATTTGTATATATTTTGCAATTCCCAATAGAAGGGTTATGCCATGGCGATGTTGGGGGTTTGACAAACTGTAACTTACAAGGCTTCAATTTCTATAAATATATTCCAACTCATTAGCAAATGATAAGTCCATAACATGCGTGAAATGCGTTTGCTAGCACACCTTTCTTCACAAATTCTGCTCTCTGTATACCGTTTCGAATCTGATCTTCGTCGTTGAGGTGAGCTTGACTCGCAAAAGCACGATGCAGCCGGTCTCGGAAGAAACGATATCCAAGCGGATAATTCCGCCCTAAATATAAGAGTTCTAGTAGATTCAATTAGTATTTGATATCCTGATCCCGCTTATGGCACTTCAAGCTAAGTTGTCCAGACGTTTCACAAAAGGAAGGGACTGAATTTACCTTTATAGATCCGGATGACCTGGTATCGAAGGGGGCTGTCCATTTTAGCTGCAGTCTCATATAATGATTATGGCGATGAGTAGACGGATTCGCGATCTCAGTAGCAGAGGGGTGAAGTTGGGTTTGTTTCGACGTGGTGTTACGGGCTTGGGAACTTGGCGTTTGCTTGAAGGATTATCCAACTTCGTCTCACGCCGCGTGATGAGATAACGAGACAGCCCTGAATTTATTCACAAATACCCCGTAATTCAGCTGGCTTCCAGGTCGTCTATCTTCCTCGCTTGTTGTTTGCTTCTTCGGAGCTTCGAGGCCGAACCGTCGGCGGGAACCTTAGATGACGACATCCGGTCACGTGGGTCTGGCCGAGGGCCGATACGGAGTACGGTGGGCCCTTTTTAGTTCGAAGACACGGCATTATCTGGCCTGGAGGACGTCTATTCCTTTCCCCTCGACCCCAATTGAAAAAGCAACGGGTCGATAGAGGATGGCCCTCACCTTCACAGCCAGAAAGCGCCTTGTCCGCTCGCTATGGGATTTCCAACCAGCTACTATCCATCGATCTATATCCACAACGAACTTCCTAAACTCTCGCCAAACGGGACCAGCTTCCCACGCGCATTATAAGGCTGATTCGAAATGGCTTTCTACGACGAAAGATCGCCTCGGGAAATGCATGCAGTTTGGACTGCAACCCGAGCAAGTGCGCGTGGCAGGAAATATCTTGCAGGAACTGGCTAGAGACTGGCGGGAACTCGTTGCAGGCAGCGAGGGCTTTCTCACTGGGGAGGATCGGCTGGGGTTATTCCGGCACAATGTTGTTTGGGGAGAGATGGTATGATTGTCTAAATGCGTCTAGCTGTGGATGGTTTTTGTTGACATGGTTGATCGGGTGTTGTTTGGCTGATAGGACGTGATGGTAAGTCTCCGTTTTCAATCAGATTTGCATCAAAGCTAAAACTTAGAAAAGGGTAAGTTTAACTCGTCAATGTCCTTAGCAAACGCTCCGTCCTAATATGCTGGATTGTCCTGTTTCAAGGACATGTCAACAACGTGATGTATGTCCGGTATGCAGAAACGGCAAGGGTCAATTGGACACGCAACTTTGCTACCTACCATGACCCCGCGCACAAGAAACAGTGGCTGGAGCTGATCGGATCAACGGGAATTGGTTTGATTCTGAAAAGTATCAAGATTGACTATAAATTCGTAAGCATTGTTCCACGATGGCGCCAAACTTCGCCGAACCTTCACTGCGCAGGATAGCTGATTTGTTCGTTGCATTACCACAGCCGATGACATATCCAGATAGAATTAGTGTCTATCATAAGCTTGTCCACGGACCCCCTTCGCCAACGTCACCCAACCCGAATGCCTACTCCGGTTTGATATTCGACGTCATGATCTTATCAGAGGAGAAACAGCGCGCAGCGGCGCGGTGCCACGAAGATGTCGTACTTTACGACTATAGAGTCGGGCGTAAGGTCTCCGAACTCCCACAATTCATGATAGATCAGTTTAGACATACTTGGTCGCTTCAACAAGAGGCGAAGAGGGCCAACAGGCTCAAGATCCAAGACATTGAGACTCGGCTAAGAGCGTTGGAGCAAGCAAGTTGGGATCGAGAAGGCGCTGTTGAGGATATGGGCTTTGCCGCAAAAGTATAAGACTATCGCTAGGAGGATGCTGGTGCCGTCTGGGGAGCTGGACGCCTTGTCAGTCGATGTGTCCTCCAAGATTCGATCGACCGTACTCCGTAAACTAATATGGTTCAAGAGGAAACATGCTGCAAGCTTTTTCCACGTGCAATCCGCCAGACGGAACTTTACACTATGATAAGATATAATTTGCGGAATTGATCTGTGCTGATACTGTAGAGCGGTGAGAACTGAAGGGCGTGTGGTTGCGATTCCCCGGTTTTGGAGCTTCATTTTCCCCAGGCTTTTGGGACATCCTTGCTCACTGACCCATTCTGCAATGTTGAAGCTGCTTATCCAATGGGCGATTTCGCCAGCAAGCGAAATTCTCGCAAAATTACACGAATATTACAGAGCTTGTAATGCCCTGCTGTAAGATAACTAACCCAGCACTGATCGACCGGCAAGCCTTCCTCGAGCTTTTGAGCGGGGACTAGCGCGGCGAGCAGGCTTTGATGTCACTTTCCAGCCTTGCGATCGTGAGGAGGCATCAACAATGTCATATACCCGCAGACGGCAAAGAGTAGAGCCCCTCGCGAGCCGGGAAACTTGTCGTCGCGACGTATCCATGCTCCCCGCTGCGTCCTTTTGCTGGCAATGGTTCGATACAAGGATCCTCGAGGTCTTGAGATGCACACGTCGAGAAGAGGGAGGAATTAAAGTTTTCTGCGGTGTGAAATCAAGACTTGGTCCAGGCGTTTCAGCAAAACAAGCAATTTCACTTTTTCTTCATGCAAGGAAACGGTCACGTGCTGGAAATACGCCGTTCTTACCATACCGCCCGATTCCGTTTTACCCGCCCACTAACAGCTCTCCATTGTGCGATAGCTCAGGCTTGCGCCATCTATGACAGTGATTCGACCCTCAGCAAAGGCATGGATGGCGGAGATTTTGTAGACTGCACCTGTATCAGATTCAATGGCTCTTCACTGTAGCACGCGCCTAAGGTATTGCTGCTCGCGGCTCTGTCGGACAAACCAGCTCATGACGTGATTGCTTGACCCTGTCTTCCTGATCCCCTGTCTTCTGCACAACAACACTCCACTTATTATTACTTGCGGAATGTGACCGCTACACAAAGCACACGATTGCCCCGCGTCTGAGGTGAAGCTTAACAGAACCAAGCACGTCGAGGGGATGGATTAGATCAGGTGGCCGGAGTACTCCGTACGGAGTATAGGAAAGCACGGTTTGGGCCTTGGAGTTCCTGTTGTAAGAGATGCGCCCTGGGCGGTGCATGAGCCAGGAGACCCCAGGCGAGTCCATCAAGGAAACAAGAAGCAACTGCCCTGGCTTTCAGGTCCCGCTGGATTGTAAAGCTCCCCTCCCTAATCCATATCGAGCACCGCATTATATTCAAGTAACGAGAGAGGACGTGCAGCTGCTCCCGTCCCTTGTGATACCTTCTCACCCGCCTCAACGCACGGTAGTTGCTGCCCAATGAATCTTAAATTATGGATTGTGCTAGAGATGACTTGGTTTTCGAGTGATTCCACGCAATCAATTTAGGATCTTTCTCATTATGGGCGGACGCGTGGTCATACTATAGTCATTGCGATAACATTCCTGGTGGTCTCGCCGCAAAACGACAGGCCACTGACACTCGCAGCACACCGTCGAATTTTTATTGCTGGCGTCTTGCATTTGTGTTTATTATTGGTTCTCGAGACCGTTTTCCTGATGCGCGCGGTAAGGGATTTTTTTGAAGGTGAGGTGCTGCTAGCAGGGATCGACAGCAGATCTCGTATCGACTGTGTTCGTCAAGGGGAGCCGTCGGCTGTATAAACGTGTATGGGGAAGTTCAACCGGGGTCTTCTCACGCTCCCACCCAGTTTCCCGACTTCCATCGCAAAGACTGCCTTGCGAAAGAGAAAGCGGTCATTTTGTCCAGAGTTGAGATCCATTGGTGTCGACGATTTGTGCAAATACAGTAATATCAGAAACCAAGCCAAACCGCGTATCGCGTTCCCGTATGGTAATCTTACCCCAGAGCTGTTGTTTGCCGTATTGTCACGCCGGGGCTTACCTAAGCCTACTGTGAAACTTCGGTCCAAGTCTTCTTTGAACTGAGAAAAAGTAACTGATCACTGATCACAACACTTCCTCTCTGTCTGGACACCAACAACCCCCATGGCCTAGCTGCTGTTTGCTTGGGCCTGGCGACGCACTGTCATTTTTCTTTCCTTTTCCCCTTGAGCTTTTGTCCGTATATCCTCTCTCCTCCGCTATCCTGTACTCACCATCACCCCCAGTCGTCCATTCCTTGGCCATTGGCTGCCAAGTGGATTTGGACGTTGGAAATCGACACTCTTGTCCATGACACGTCCGGCAGCGGCGGCAAGGAAGAATCACGGTAGTCGTCACGAGAACGGCCATGCCTCCTCAGGAAAGAAGGTCTCCAAGCAGAAATCGAATGGCCATCTGAATGGAACGCCGAACGGCCAGCACCGACCGGACCCGATTGCCCTCACTGCTCGCAATCCCTCGAAACCGCAATCCTCCTCGTCTTCGGCTGCGAATAACAAAACGAATGGGGACGTGGAAGAGCTCAAAATGGAGTCCAATGGACAAGTCCAGGTGAACGGGCATGGGAAAGGCGATCCGGGAATGTCAAACGGCCACGCATACGCTTCTGGTTCGACAAATGGGGCGTTAGGCACCAGGATTGAGGATCAAATCTCTCGCCGATCAGAGAAAATGCTGAACTCCGCATCAAATGTGAAGAAGCCCTATGCTGGCAAGTCCGTCAACCCGTTCCATCTTGCGTCCACCATCCTCAAGGCTTGCCCCATGGCGGACACGATCGCGATTCTCATCTTCTTACTTCAACTTCCACCTATCGTCTTGACTTTGGTCCAATTTCTTTACGCGTCGATGACCTTTATGTTACCCGCGGGCGTGTCAACTGGCACACTGACTTCCAATTTCGATATTTTCCAAGGACCTGCGGGAACACCCTCTCTTGGAACCATGATCGCGATGGATGCGTTTTGTCTATTAGTATGGGCCCTCTTTATGTGGAACTGGGCTCGAAATTTTGCTATCGACCTCGCGCATGTTCAAGTCGCCATTGCTTTGGGTGCTGGGAGTTCGGGAGATACTGGTGGTGTCAACGCGTTTTGCGTAACTGTACTGTTGATAGTACATTTGTTTCGGAGTGAAGGGATACAGGATTTCGTGTTTGGACATCTTCTCTCTACCAATTTTCTTTCGAGCGATCTCTTGGAAAAGTATTCAAATTTGATTCCGATGGAGTTTAAGCAAATCGAATATCCATCCCCTCCGAGCTGGGTGAGAAGCCTCCTTGCGATTCACATTCTGGCTCAAGCAGGGACGGCCATGGCCAGGCGATCGATGGCGAAAAACCGGTCGCAGCCTCGAGCTAAAACGGGAAAACGACTGGATACTGAGGCCTCTACCAATTGTCATATTGAGTCTTCGGTTTTTGAATCCGGTATTGCATTACCACCGAACGCCAACTCGGAAGTCTCATCTTTACCTGGTTCTATATCAAAGGAGGGCCGAGATCGAGTTTCTAGTGCGAAAAAACGAAGGCGGCAAGCGAATGAAGCGAGACGAATACAACCGTTCTGGGCAGCATTAGCGAGCACAAAATTGACTGTGACGCGCGAATATGAGCGTTCGAGGCATAGTACCTGGTACTCACCAAGCTTTCCAGTGGCCGAAGATGACCTTGACAAAGCACCACTGGGAACAGCTTTGATTTGGATTACTCATGTTGATAGTTGTTCAATTAAATTTGCGGCAAGTGACTTTACAACGGAAGAAGATCCCATGACAGGCGGAACGTACGAGGGTAGTGTTTCTGACGCCGAAGCGGACCCTTTCTACATTCGCGTCAACGGAGCTCACTGGGCACCAGTTAGCCTTAACCGGATAACGGAAAACTCGGACGAGCTTTCGTTAGTTCATTGGAGAGGGGAAATAGCTGGATTGGCGCCCGATTGCGCGTATGCTTGCAGCTTCGTCCGCTGCGACACCGATGAAGAGATATGCGTCATGAGCGTGAAAACGCCCGCTACCTCGGACACGGATCAAGGTAGGTTTATTTCAGCCTTCGTTTCGGTATGGCAATCTGATATTTGAAACAGCTTCTATCACTGCATCTATCTCGCCATCACCCCGTCAATCATTACGGCCGTCTTCTCCAACCACCACTATAAAGAACTCCATCATGAATGCGGATGCTAAGTTAACTGAGCGCCGGGCAAAGCTGAAAAGATCTAGGAATGAACACAAGCTTCAAATATCCAAGATCAAAAAGGAACTCGACAACTTCACCCACCGACTTAATAGTGGCGGGGACGATACCAGGCAAAAACAGCGGTCTCTGCAGTTGGAGCGGAATATTCGTCAGACCGAAGAGGCAACAGCAGCTTTGGATCAACAGCTAGATAGCCTTGAAAAGTCCCCCGACGAGGAAATTCAGGAATGGGAAGCGCGTAAAGCAGCGTTTGAACTGGAAAAAGGAAAACTCGAGGCCTTGAAGGATGAGCTGCATGCCGCAAAATCTGCCACGGACCGTGGAATCTCAACCGCTGAAAACGAGCTTGCCAATACTGTGCAGAAACGAGAGCGCCTCCAAAATCGCCGAAATAGACTTTCAGAGCAATATGAGCGTATTACGCATGCTAACAACCAAGGTTTAAATGAACGCGAACGACGTGCTGCTGAGCAATTGGCCAAAGAACAAGAGCACGCCAGGATCGAAGAGGGTTTCCAGGAGCAGCTAACTAGCATTACCCGTTCGCTTGAAGAATACCAAGTACGCACTACCCAGCTCTGGCAACAGGCCACGGCGATTGAGCAAGCCTACCAGCAACAGCAACTCTTCATGAGTTCTGGTCCTCTTACACCTGAAGGCGAATTACCTGGAACAAAGCGACAGCCGATGGACACAAACGTCTCTACTAACTCGATGAGCACGGCTGCATTAGGGAACAAGTCCAATTTTAGCATGGCTTTCCCAGCGTATTCGTCAACAGAAAAGCCAGGTCTGGTGCATCGGTCGTCAATGTCTCCCATTATGCACTCGTCATTGCCTGTAGGGTACTGTGAGCCCCAATACTACCCCCCTTCTCCACTCGCCAAAAAGCAATCAATGTTCGTTCCAGACACGGGTGGTCATCGTGACCGTTCCCTGTCGAATTTCTCCCGCCGGAGCACGCACGTTGAATACAACGCCCCATTGTACGCGGGTGATGGTGCCGACGCTGACGCCACTCGAAGTCACACCTCTGTTTTGAGTCCGGTTAATCATAATCTGGCTCAATTCAAGAGGGCCGACAGCCGAAACAGCGGCAGCGCCAGTGGAAGCGGAAGTGGTAGCGGTGCTGGTAGCCCTCATTCTAGTCGAGGAAAGCCTATTTGGAGTTGAAGAAATGAGATTCACTTCGTAAGGGTCCTGTTAAGCAGTGGTTGTCGCTCTGAGGTTCTTTTTCCATAGGTAGCTAGCTTTGCAAATCAAAGTATACTACTGTCGCAAATTTCGAGTGAAATAGCACCAGGGACATATCCTGCCTCAGTCCTAGTTTGTGTATTGTGTGTATCTCGTAGTTATTGTCCACGAAGTAATATTCGCAGAGATTTATGGAATATAAAATCATACGCATGGCAAAAGAAGAAGCTGGTAGTCATGCTTAGGGAATTGCAAAGCCTCAAAATATCATAGTTATTGTACAGTACACATACTACATGTAAAAATTATGCAAATGACAGGTGAGAAGGGTATCTATAAGTCTATAGAAGAAAGGTCTTTTAGAGGATTATTTTGGTGCGCCAGTATAGTAATTAATTGATATTCAACGCCCGTAGGTACGGCTTGAAAAACAAGAGGACCCAGGGTATATCAAGGCCTGTCTTTTTTCGACAGAAGCGTGATTTGCTCGCCCATTTTCCAAAACCGAGTGTCTGCGTAGGTCAGGCAGAGGTCGTCAGCAGTGTGATTAATATCCAACTGCCGCGGCTCGTCGCTGTATATTTTTATCACAGTCCCCAAGACTATCACATGGTCCCCAACTCGCGCGCTCGAAGGATAGTACCTGCATTCAAGTATGAAGGGAAAGTTTGACGGCAAGGTATTCTGGGTGGAGTCTTCGTTGTCCAGCAATCGTTGTTGGAGGACGAGTCGAGGCGGTTCACCCTCTGTCACAGCAGGCTGCCGTTCCAACGAAGCAGGCGAAGTAAATCGGAATGTATGCTTCCTATCCTCCATCTGGACATTCTCATGTCCTCTTGAGAACTCCCTCGCAAGGTTTGCCGTCACCCCATTCGACGACAAGAGGTGCACGAGAAAGCGTTGCGAGGAACGAATCGCATCGTACGTTTCGGATGGGAGTTTCACGTTAAAGGACACTATGGGTTCCGGGTATAAGGTGACGGTGTTGAAAGACGACACTGTCATTCCGCGGAAGGCTGAATCGGCGCGAGAATTCGGCTGCGTAGCTGTGATTATTGCGACTGGGTGAGGAACCAGTCGCATGAGCTTGCGGACTTGGGTTTGGACATTGGTGTCGGGGGTAGCGGCGGAGTATGGCTCGGTAGATACATCGTCTTCTGGGGACTCTGGATCCTGCTCGGAAGCAGGCTTAGGGACATCCCGTAGTTCCTGGTTGTGTGCCGGGCTGAAGGTCCTCGCGATTTTGTCGACCTCTCGGGGGAGTGAAGCTATGCTTGGCGGCAGGACTGGACGGACCGCATCTGTAATGCTTGTAATGTGCTTGGACACAATGGTCCTTAGCATGCGCCTGTAATGTCGGCGGAATTGTAGTTGTGGGTGGAAAGCTGTGAATTCAGAGGGCTGCGAGTTGCGGACTTGGAGAAGGACTCGTGATGAAATTCCCCGAGACCAGGCTAGTCTCGAGGGAGAGACCAAGTGCATCTTCCTGCAAGAGTAAGCGTGAATGATGGTCCTTTGCACTCATTCATCTTTCGGATCGGGGGCTCCGATAGCTATATCAACACCGCCATTGCCCTTCCAGCTGTTGAGCGAGTTGACTGATTCCCTCCTCCGGCGAAGAAAGTTGGAAAATTCTGCTTATCTAATCCCGAGATATCAAACTTTCACTTCAATTCGAACAGCTTCGCATCTGCAGCTCAAAAACCTCGCTGATTATTCTGAAAAAGTCCCTTTGCGTCCAAATCACCATAAATAGCTGCAAGACTATCTTACGCCTCGAACATTCGACCCATCCACCTCTACAATGTCAATGCATCTCCCCCTCCAACGAATCGGTGCCACCAAACTCCCTTCCACAACCTACATCTGCTCGCAATGCCGACACGCAACCCTCCTCCGCCGTCCTAAACGTCCCTATACTTTCACTCAGCTCATCACCCTCTCCGACGGAAGTACATTCACGCACCGCACCACCTCTCCTCAAGCAGTCTACCGCTCCACCCGTGACACACGCAATGCGCCCATGTGGAATCCGTCCAGCGAACGCCTACTCAATGTCGAAGAAGACGAGGCGGGAAGGCTAAAAGCGTTTAGAAGTAGATTTGGAAGAGGGTGGGATGCGACGAATACGGTTTCTATGGAGGCGGCGCAGGGGGAAGACAAGGCCGCCGCTGCTGTGGAGGAGTTTGACGATGAGGACGATAATTTGCTGGATTTGATCACTTCGTTCGGGCAGGAGGAATCGAAGCCGAAGGCTGGGAAGAAGAAATAAGCGTTGGCCTGTCCTTTTTGAGCTGGGGAATCGGGTTATTGCGCGACTATTGCGGATGATCAGACGGAAAAGGGCCAAATTCTTGGGCGAATGGGTAACTTGTACGAATATGAGGTCGGAGTTTTATTCGAATTTATGCGCTTTCTTGGTACATTTCCACAAGTTTCTGCGAGCACATTTGAACTACCTTTTGCTGTACAGATAGAAGGAAAACTATGACCTATACAACCCGATGTTCAATTCCACAACCCTTCGGCATCGACAACTTGGAGACTAGGGTCTGGCCCGAAAAGTGATACTGCCGGAAGGAATCCTCCCCAGACGCCCATGGATAAGTGGCTCGCAGATCAATACATCAAGAAAACGGTGCGCTAATGCCGCATCCGAAATGTTTGCCTTGCCGCAGAAATTGCACACATGGGCAGTCGGGAATTGTACAATTTTGCAAGCGGCATCGTGATAGAAACGGTTTAATTCATCAACAGAGGATATCGTACAATTTACAAATCACGACCCCTCTTGAACAGAGGTTGGTTCAGTAGCCTGTGAAGCGGAGCCACTTTCGGTTCGTTCGTGCTGTGATTCGGAAGAGTGAGGCTGATTGAAGAATGGATTCATGTCGTCGTCGGAGTCGAGCTGAAGAAGGAACGTTTCCCATAGCTCGATCAACTATGGATCCGTCAGTCACCGGCATAGACAGGTAAAGGTTAAGGATAGATACCGTACCTCTTTTTGTGCTTCAACAGCGCTCCTCCAAGAACGTCTCCACGCCGGATTTGAAGTCTTCCACCTTCTCTTTTCAAATCGTTCCAATTCATTGCGCATCAACTTCCCCATGTCCTCAAACAATAACCTTGCCTGGTGTACCTTTCTCTCGGCATCAGCCACGTCGGCATTGGCTTGATTGAGTCTGTCCTGCTGGGATTTCCCTTGACGGAGCAGCTTATCTTGCGCGTTTCTCCTTTTTTGTAGCTCTGATTCGGCCGTATGCCAGCTTTGAAATGATTTCTGGCGTTGATTGAATGCCATTTTTACACTTCCTATCAACCGGATATATTCATCGATTGTAATTCCTAAGGTTAGAGTGTCCTGCTGGGCTTGACGTTCATAGAGTTCCCGTATGCGAAGTTGAATTTCAGAAAGTCCTTCTAGTGGACCAGAAAGGGTAGGGGACAGTTCAACATCGGCTAATGCGTGTAGAGACATCGCAAAATCACTGGCTGCCTCTGCAAGTCCTTTGCGCTGCTGAACCACTGTATCCACAGCCTTCATTAACCCTTTTAGCTGATTTTCAAGGGCCTCAAGGTAGATTTTTCTGTCGTGGAACCACTACAGCCAGTGTCAGCAAGCATTGAAAAGTATTAAGTTCTGGAAAACTCACATCATCATGCTCTACGAATTTGCTTCCTCCGCCAACCGATATACCGAGAGAACTGAACATCCCTTTACTTTGTCCAAGATCTGGCTCCCGGTTCTCTTTATTCTTGACATCCAAATTGAATGTATCGCTTTCCAAGAAGATTTTTAGATCGGCATCATGCTGGAGCACTGGATGTGCAGCGATTTTATTCAACATCCGCTCCAATGCGGCTCTTCGCGATTCGACGAAATTGGATTCAAACCGACCAACCGCCTGCTTCTCCGGAGGGGGCGGAACAACGATTCCGGGATTGTTACCATGCAAGGAGTTGTATATCCACAGAAAATCGCGATATCGTCTAGTAACAGAGAATTCAGGGCGTACATATGCTTTCGATGTTGTCTACACCAAATATTTAGCACTTCGGCCTCCAAACGCGTGGGAATCGTACTTACCTTTGTCCTAACTTGATAAACAATATGGCTGCTTGTAAGGTCTCCGACTTTATGAGGATCACCAACGGTAATGTGGAAAGTAGGTTTCGCAGCCTGCTCGACAGTCATACTGGGCTGAGTCTGTCTTTTCGGGCCATCACCGCTGCTCGAAGGCTGTTGGATAGGAGGCGGTGCTCGGATTCTCGTTCGCGCTTCGTCTTCATCCAGGTCAACAGACTCCATGAGCCCGGCAGCACTTGATGATTGAGAGGTAGATGATGTAGGGCGGACATTGCGCGCGGCAAACGGCTCCTTCTGAGGAGGGATCGGGCCTTGTTCCTGGATAGGAGGGAATGATTTGTCGCCTAGAGGGCCGAGCGGGTCACTTGAATCATCGACAGCTTCAAGCTTCTGAGCTTGAAATCTCCGAGGGGTCCGAATGCCTCTGGCGGGCGGGGATTGCGGGCTGGCGAGTGCTGACTGCGATGGGAGGTTATTCTGATTTCCTGCTCTTCAGGGTCAATTACAGGCTCTCTTGTTAAAAGAACGAATCGCATCATACCAGACTCCCCGTCATTAGATGAGATAGATTGAGAGGGAACATCTGTAGAAACAACATTTAGATATCAGTTGAGAGCGAGCTCGGCGCGACTGGGCTTGACATACCACCCCACGGCGAATCACCTCCCTCTAAATCCATGTTGAACAAGAAACAGTGCTGATCAAAGTGAGACGCTACTGTCCACCAGGCTCTGCTGTGAAAACGGCAATCAAAAGTGTACGACAGGCAAAAAGTGCATTCAATTCTGGTGATGAAGCAGTGCCTGTTTATCTAGTGGTTTATGTAACCAACAAACTAGGCTGTCTGATACTAACGGCTGTGACCGCCTTTGCCAAGCAACAGATCAATGAACGAGTTACGGAGTGATGAGTGCACCAACTACTCCGTACAGTCTACGAGAGTTCCCAAGAATCTCAACACTTGGTGAATATTATAGTTGCTTTGATAGAGCTGCTATCAGGGAATCTATTCATGTGGGAGTGCAGACTTGAAAGCTATTCAACATCCTTGAAATGCCATCATAGGAGAAATGCTTGAAGACTGCAACTTTCAAATCACTGAACCCACGGCAGACCAAGTTTATGCATCTCAACAGCCAGCTGGAAAAGATAGTCCAAGCTCTCACACTGGGTTTTTGCTTTGGCAACTGTATCTCCCCATACATATCTAACGAGTCAAGTTAGTTGGCTACGGGCCCAGTTCTGATGTTGGGTCACATACATTCCATGTCGCCGCACAAGCACTGCGTATGTGTCTGGATATTCGTCCATAGCTTTCTCCAAGCTTTCAGTTAGGTCCTCCTCGAAAGCGGTGTTCTCGATGATTGGTATTCGAAGGGTGTCAAAAAACCCTAGCATGCCCTTCCCTTTGCCTTTGGGGATCCCTTTAATCTGCTCGATGTTGTTGATTTCAAAACAACCATTTTTACCCTTCTCTCTTTCGACTAACAGGGTCACCAGGACAGCCCATTGTGAGTGTGTGTGAATTGAACAGCCTGCCCCCCGGTCAAATGCTGCTAGGAATAGTGGAGTGCAAGCCGAAGGCTTCAATTCTTGCGGCTTGCGAATATACTGCCGCGCAGATGGGGGATATTTCGGGGTGGGATAAGAGAGGACGAAGATGTCTTCCGGTTTAATCATTTCTTTCTGAACCCCCGAAGGAGCTATAAAGATATGGCCATCCCGGCGGATAGAGGTCTGTTGAAAGGCTCAATCAGCGTTACAAATTCCAAGAGCAGTGTCTACGGCGCAACTCACACCCCCTCCAGTTCCGGTAACCCATCCTAGCGTATAGAACTTTTTGCAGAGCTCTGGAATGAGATTCGCGGGGTGCTCCGGGTCAGAAGACCGGACTAGATGGTCATTACTGCCCTGAGGCTCCTCCCTCTGGTCTGTCATCTTGCGGCTCCTGTCAGGCCCCGCTTGTTCCCCAGAGACTGCTAGGGAATAAACCTGCCTCAGTAATCACAGGCAGGCCTAGATACAAATTCCCAACCCAAACCCGACAAGTCCAGCGGCAAGTAGAGAAATTATACGCTGAAAAAACAATTCCGGTCGCATTCTCCCATTGAAGCCCCTCCAAAACGAAATTCCGGAGAATCGCAGTGTCCACCCCAGCAGCCAATCAGAGCTCGAGGTTGGAGCACTGTGGCTGGAGCAGCTATCCCTGATTGGGGCTAGCGGTCCCTGGCTGAAAATACCGGGGAATGTAACCGTAAGCTGGATACGAGATTACAACTAGCGGCCACTAGCGCGACCGTGGAGATAAGGCCCTGGCAGCTAAGGAAAGAGGCCACCTTTCACAGCACCGCAATTTCATCAGCTACTGCCACCTCCGACTTCGTCTATTTATTCCCCGTTGCTGCTTTCGATCGCTTCCTCCCTGCGTCGTCTTCTTCCCCAATCCCTTCTTTTCTCCCATTGTGTTTGTATCCTTCTTTGGAATCCTCGTGGAGGATCGTGGTTCACAATGCGTCTCAACGCCCACATCGCCTCGTTGATCCTCTCCTACATAGCTTTCCTTGGCCAAGTCCATGCTGAAAGCGAGGCCATACCGGAAGAGCCAACGACCACTTCGATCAGCAGGCCTGCATTCACAGTAGGAGCTCCCTTTGCTACAATCTACAGCTCCATTGCCCATGCTAATCATGCCAACTAGCCTACCTCGTTGAAAGCTCCGTTCTTTGAACAATTCACAGACGACTGGCAAAAGCGATGGACTCCCTCCCATGCGAAGAAAGAAGACGCAAAATCTGATGAAGAATGGGCATATATTGGAGAATGGGCTGTTGAGGAACCAACGGTGCTGAAGGGCATTGACGGAGACAAAGGATTGGTGGTGAAGAACCCCGCCGCTCATCATGCCATCTCCGCCAAGTTCCCCAAGAAAATTGACAACAAGGGCAAGACCCTCGTTGTTCAATATGAAGTCAAGCTTCAAAGTGAGTCTATAGTCTGGCCCGCAAGCCCTACAATTGGCTAGGACTAGCTGCTGACTTCGCAATTCCGATAGACTCCCTAGTGTGCGGTGGTGCATACATGAAGCTGCTTCAGGATAACAAGAAGCTCCATGCCGAGGAATTCTCCAATGCTTCTCCTTATGTTATCATGTTTGGGCCTGACAAGTGTGGAGCTACAAACAAGGTATGCACCTACATTCATTAACACAATTAATTGATTCTAACATTTATGCAGGTCCACTTCATTTTCAAACATAAGAACCCTAAGACTGGTGAATACGAAGAGAAGCATTTGGCAAATGCCCCAGCGGCTCGCATTTCCAAGCTCTCTACGCTCTATACTCTTATCGTCAAACCTGACCAGAGCTTCCAGATCCAGATCGACGGTGAGGCAGTGAAGAATGGAACTTTGCTTGAGAATTTCGAACCTCCCGTCAACCCTTCAAAGGAGATTGATGACCCAAGTGACAAAAAGCCAGAGGACTGGGTTGATGAGGCGAAGATTTCTGACCCGGAAGCAAAGAAGCCTGAAGACTGGGACGAAGATGCCCCCTTTGAAATCGTTGATACCGAAGCCAAGAAACCTGATGACTGGCTCGAGGATGAACCAACTACAATCCCCGATCCAGAAGCCCAGAAGCCGGAGGACTGGGATGACGAGGAAGATGGCGATTGGTCTGCTCCAACTATTCCAAACCCTAAGTGTGAGGAAGCCTCTGGCTGCGGGAAATGGGAGCCTCCTATGAAGAGAAATCCTGACTACAAGGGCAAATGGGTTGCACCTTTAATCGATAACCCAGCATACAAGGGCGCATGGGCTCCTAAGAAGATCCCCAATCCCAACTACTTTGAAGACAAGAGACCTGCCGACTTCGAACCAATGGGTGCTGTAAGTCAAACTCTCTAATATACTATCACCTTGTGAAACGCATGCGGATGACTAACTCGCTCCTAGATTGGCTTTGAAATCTGGACAATGCAAAACGACATTCTTTTTGACAACATCTATATTGGCCACTCCATCGATGACGCTAAGAAACTTAAGGCCGCAACATTCGACATCAAACATCCTATTGAAGTCGCTGAGGAAGAAGCTTCTAAGCCCAAGGAAGAACCGTCCACTGATGACTCTGACCTTAGCTTCAAGGATGACCCAGTTAAGTTCATCCGAAGCAAAGTTGATAACTTCATTTCTATCGCCAAAGAAGATCCTGTCGAGGCTGTTAAGGCTGTTCCTGAAGTAGCAGGTGGATTGGGTGTCCTTCTCGTCACTTTGATCCTCGTTGTCTTCGGTGCCATCGGTATCAGCAGCCCTGCACCCGCACCAGCCAAGAAAGATGCTGGAAAGGCTAAAGATAAAGCTAAAGAAAAAGCTGCCGAAGCCGTCAGCACCGGAGCCGAAAATGTCAAGGCTGGAGCGACGAAGCGAACCAAGTCGAGCGAGTAAAGGGTGGTTAAAGGGTCCTTATATAGCGGTGGGTCGGAAGGCGCCTTTCGGGGCTAAATGCATACATAGATCCTCTTCCTGGGGATAAAATTTACGTAGGTACGATACCGAGGGTTGAAGTATGGCGCATATGCCGATTGGTATTATAATGGAGCAATGACACCCTGTTTCACAGGCTTGGGACGGTTTTAGCTTGACTGCTAACCATTTGCCTGATGGGGACTTTGTATCACTACTATGGGGTGAAATTAGCAAAGCGGAGTACTAGTTTGAATTTTATAGCGGCTTTTTCTTCACCTTTGAGTGTGCATCTCCAATTGTTGAAATCAGTCTGGTGGAATCATCGTTGATGGGAGAACTTGGCTCAACTTGTAATTTGGCAGATCCATTCTACTTTTGACTTACTCAGTCAAGCGTAATAAAATACATGCAGCTTAAGAGGTATTCCCTAATTCAAACCAAATTGCTGAAGACTGCAAATCTCATATCCGGCATCAAAAGAAACATATTGACTTGAAAAAAAGAAATCGTAAAAGCGAGAACGGAAAAGGAGGAAAACGATTCAATTGAACATGTCCAGATATTTTTTTTCTTTCATTGGTGGGTAGGCATATTCACGCTTGCTTTTGTGCTGATTGCGTCTTCACTCCTCCACAAGCTAGTCACGGTCTTGAGCTGGGGTATAAAAGTTCAACCCGGGGTTTGCCGTAAAAGGTGTTTGCGCTATCGGCAGCGATACTTCTTCTTGTTAACCGGTGAAGGAGAAACATGGGGGAGAGGGACTGGGATTGGACTTATTTAAAAGGACAAAAAAAGAAATTGGTTAGCGGTCAATGCAGTTTTTCTGATTTGGGGACCATATGATGGGAGATGGGTGATGAGGACTTACACGTGATACCGAGCTGGCCGGCCTCGAGCTCGTGCTGGAAGCGGGTGGCAGTGGGACCGGAGCGGGTGAAGACGGCAGCGCCGTTTCCGTATTCGTTGGCGTTGATGAGGGCGATGGCTTCGTCGACGGTTCGACTTCGAGGCAGACGAGGACGGGGCCGAAGATTTCTTCACGGTAGCATTTCATGTGCGGCTTGACGCCGGTGATGATGGTTGGGCCGACCTGAGATTTTGCCGATTTGGTTAGCTTGTTATGTGAAGGAATTTGGGATGTACATACCCAGTTGCCGTTGGGATACTTTGGGGGCGTGTAGCCGCGTCCATCAAGCAAAATGGTGGCGCCTTCTTCTTCGGCGCTGGCAATGAGCTCTTCGATGCGCTTCTTGCTCTGGGGAGTGATGACGGGGCCCAAGTCTGCGCCCTCCTCGAAACCACCGTTGACACTGAGGCCCTTGGCGCGCTCAGCGATTTCGGGCAGCCACTCCTTGGTCTCGCCGACCATGACGAGGGTGGACAGGGCCATGCAACGCTGGCCAGCAGCGCCAAAGGCAGCTCCGACAATCGCGTTGAGGGAATGGTTTTTGTTGCAGTCGGGAAGGACGGCAGCGTGGTTTTTCGCGCCCAAGTTGGCCTGGACACGCTTTCCGTTGGCGGAGCCGCGGGTGTAGATGTACTCTCCAGCGCGGTTGCTGCCGACGAAGCTGATTGCTTTGATCGCAGGCTCGTCGAGGATGAAGTCGACGGTCTTTGCAGCACCGTGGATCACGTTGATGACGCCTTCGGGGAAGCCAGCCTCCTTGGCCAATTCCACGAGGATCATGGCCGCGCCAGGATCGCGTTCAGATGGCTTGAGGATCAGAGTGTTTCCGGTCATGGTGGCAATCGGAATTGACCAGAGTGGAATCATAGCAGGGAAATCTACATTGCATATTAGGAATCCAATCGGCGCCAAAAAGGGGAAAACTCGACTTCACTCACTGAAGGGGCAGATGGCAGCTACAACGCCTAGGGGCTCGCGGTAAGTTCTCGTCTCCATATCCTTTGCAACTTCGAGCAGCTCGCCCGTCATCTGCGTGGTGATGCCGCAGGCGGTCTCAGCAACCTGCAGTCCTCGAAGGACATCGCCCTTGGCATCGGCAAACGTCTTGCCCTGCTCGAGAGTGATGCTGGCCGCTAGACGGTCCCAGTTGGCACGGATCACGTTAACGTATTTGAACATGATCTGCTGCTTGGCCATGATGCTGGTGGCTCTCCAGGCCGGGAAGGCCTTCTGAGCACTCTCCACAGCGGCTTTCATCTCTTCACTTGTGCTTTGGGGAACACGGG